CCAACCCTGAGCCCATCCCATACCCCAAACCCCTCACCCCCAGCTCCATTGGGTTGCGGACATCAACAATTTTCTTCAACTGGGTCGCCAGAAAAAGAGTTTGAAAACCACTGATCTAGACAACTGGCTTGTTAAAGGCTGGTCCAGATGGCAAGGACAGAGCAGTGTTGCCCTGGTCCAGTCAACCTTCAGTGCTCTGGGACTGTTAATCAACACAGAAAAATCCCTTCTCTCCCTGGTCCAGAGGATAGAGTTTATAGGGGCTGTATTGGATTCCTCTTAAGCCAGGGCCTTTCTTCTGCACTTCAGGTTCCAGGCAATTAGATGGTTATAGATTTGAAGGCTCACAACAGCACAAAACAGTTGGAGGCTTCTGGGTCACATGGTCTCTTGCACCTATGTAGTTCAATATGCCAGACTGCAACTCAGAACTCTGCAGGGCTGGTTGGCATCAGTCTGCTTGCCAAGATGCCATCAGTTATACATGGTGGTAAGAATGCCCTCCCATGTCCTCACCTCCCTAGATTGGCGGACAGATCCAGTCAATGTATGTGTAGGCATTCCATTTGCCTGCCCACTGCCACCTCTCATGCTAGTGACAGATGCTTGGCTCTGAGGTAGGGAGCCCACCTGGCTTCTCTACAATCGCAGGGTCTGTGGTTCTCAGAGGACTTAGCTTTACACATCAGTGTTAGAGAACTGAAAGCTGACAGGCTGGCATGCCAAGTATTTATCACAGATCAGGGGAAGCAGCCTGTCCGTCCTCACAGACAACAGGGCAGCAATGTTTCACCTCAACAAGCAGGGAAGATGCCTGCTTTACTCCACTCTGTCAAGAAGCAACTCTACCTTGGGAGCCAATCTTGCCAGTTCAATAGATCTTGAAGCATCTGTCAGGCATACAGAACAACCTAGCAGACCTCCTGAGCAATTTGTTTACATGTCACTGTGAGTGGTCTCTTCACCCGGATGTGGCCAGATTCATCTTCCACAGCAAAGTCCAACAAAGCATCAGCAATTCTACGGGATCACAGCCCGGGTTCCATACTGACATGGTCAGGCAGGCTCCTCTACGCTTTTCCACCAATCCCACTCATTCACAGCGTATTGCTGTGCCTCAATCCGCAAACCTGGGATCATTCCATCCCCTCACCTCGCTGGGGTGGGGTGAAAATAAATTAATAAATAATTCTGTCTTCAGAGCGGGTTTGAACAGTGTGCAGTAAATAAGGCCAGAGCCACACATTGAACAACAGGGAGAAAGCACCATCGTGGTGCACTGAATGAGGCAACAGTATGTGATCGTGTAATTACTTACCTCATTGTCAGAGCACCGTCCTTATAACAGAGCATCCCCAGGCTTTAAAACTTCCCAGCTTGTGAGGCAGCTATGCCTGTAAACGATGGGCATGTTACGTGTCTTTGGAGAAAGGCATGCAACTGAAGTGATCAGGATGCAGGTTTTTCAAAACACATTCAACATGCCAGAGGTGCTCTAATATTCCTTTGTTGGAGTGCTCTTTTCTGAGAAGTGCCTGCCATTTCTAGGCCTCCCTCAGCCAATGCTCTGACTACCCGAGAGGTTACCGCTTGTTACCAGCTTTGCCTGTTACTTTGGGGTATGCTCATTTATTAGGGTTACTTTTCCAGTGTGGAGGGAGGGGGGTCTGTACTTCTATCAATGTACTGCTTGTATCACTTGTGTTCTTATACAGAGCTCTACTTCTCCCCCCTGCAAGTCCCCTCCCAATGGAGCTATGCTGCAGGACCTAGGTTCCCCAGAATCAGACAAACACACACACACTAACAGAGCATGTCTGAGAGGACCGGGTTAGTCAGCACTCCCAAGTTTACCCCTTATATCTCCCTGGACTCAGTAGGCTGGGTTGAGCAGCATTTCCAGGCTGTCACCTTCATATGCCCTGGGCACCGCACCCGAATAGAGCACAATGGAGCAGGCTGGGTCGAGCTGCACTTCCAGGCTGCCACCCTCATATGTCCCAGGTTCAGCACATCCCTGTCCCCACTTTCACGTTACAATTGTTCAGGTAGTAACACATTCGATGAGCAAACCCCACTGGATTTTTGGGCACTGCAGGGATCTTTTAGCTTAGGTACGAGGAGCGTTGCTGCAGCACGAATGAGGAAGCCAAAAACACCCAAAAGGGGGAGAGAGGGAGAGAAGCAACCAGCTTAACCATGAAAGTTATTTATTGCCAGGTAATAACCATACAAACAAACAAAACAGTTGTAACATTAAATCTAGCTTAAATTTGATTATGAAAGTCAGGTTTAGAAAACTATAACTGACCACACAAGTCAAGGTCAGGCTATACCGAGAGAGAAAGCTGAGTTCTCACGACTCCATGAAGCTTGAATCGATCGGAGGTCCCAGGCGGTGGTAGCTGAGGGTCCAGAGTGCTGGGGACAGGCAGAGTCCCCAGCACAATCAGTCAGGAGATGCTGAAGTCCCAATGGAACTGATGCAGATTTTGGATCCAGGCATCAGAACGCTTACTTGAGCATGGGTAGGGGTTTTTGTAGAGAAACAATAACGGTTCAACGGAGAACACTAGATTTGTTTATATGTAAACTGATAGCTCAGAGGAGTATCCCAAAGTTGTTTTGTTCAGGCCAGACAATGGGAGCTGATCATTTCTGGCTATGGGCAGTGTTCCTTGGAGGGAGCTCACAATGCAATTAGGGAGCTTCACTATTTTGGATACCAATAAAGGATTTATTACTAGAATTGGTCTGATAACTACTGAGCTGGGTGTGTGCAGTTGTGGGTTCATTAACATCTGGAGCAGAGATCCCCCATCATGCAGTGCTTCCCTGCTTTTCTGGTCCCAGAGTTCCATGCAGTTCTTGCCTTGGAATCTCTGTTCTCCATTCTGTATGATAATGGAGATGCTGCCTTGTCCCATCTTCGATGCAAATGAGGCTAGGGGAGTTGCCTTAATCCTGTCACCCTTGTCCCAGGGGCTTAGGTGGGTCTCCACTGCCTTTTCATAAGTCTTTCTTCTGATCGGTTTTGGTTCAAGCAGAGGCTCGGAGGGGAGGTCTTTCATGAGTCAGACAGGCTGGGTACTGCGCCCTGGTTCCTCAAGAACACAGAGCTGATAAGTAACACCCTGGATCTCGGGACCTAGCACTGCATCAAAACCTGCTGAGCCTATGGCATAGATGCCCTCTCATTAGTCAGCTTCTCCTGCTGCCTGTGACAGCAAAGAGCACCATTCTAAGACTCCTTCACTTTGCAACCCTGATTCATCCCCAGAGCACATCCAGCCTGGGCCCTGACTGAGACAGGGGCCCTGTGGAAAATATAGTATGTGCTCAGGTGATTAAAGACCATCATAAGGTATAGGCACACAAGGACCAAATTAAGGCTGCACAAACCACCTTAATTCTGGCATTTCCTAACTTCTGAGTGCTCAACTTTGCAACTTTTATAATGTTTTAATGGAGTTTTGAGTGTAATATGAACTTTTTGGCTCAACCATCACAGCAGCAAACCCCCCAGTAGCCCAGCAGATGGTATCCACCTTGCTTCCAACACACTCCTGATTTCAGCCATCCCTTCCTTTGATTTGGGCTGGCCTTGTTTAACTCTGCAAACCAGGTTACCTTATCAAAGCGCTGCAAGTTCCTCCGCTAGGAACACATTCATGCCTGCAGCCTTTGTCAAGTGTTTTGTCCAAGCTCACTATAGGGATCTGCTGTAATAAATGGACCTGTAAACTTCCCCTAATTGTGAGTTCAACTGTGACGAGTGAGTGAAAGGTTATAAAATATCACAGTAACCTATGTTATGGTGATGGAAAAAAGTGCACAAAGGAGATAGAAAGAACAAATTAGTCCAAAGGGAGAGGCCTACTGATATAACTCAAGGACTGAGTTAACATCATGCCTGATAAACAAGAAAAGGACGGGATCAGCAATCAGTGAACCAAAATTGGTGTCAGGAATTAGGCCTAACTGGTGGACAAAATGAGAGGACAGGCCGTTCCGCCCATCACTCCATTTTGGGGTCCTTAAAGAAAGAGACTTCGGGAGAAAAAGGCTACAGGAGTGAGCTTCACCCTCATGGCTGTGACCCCCATCATCTCCTGGGACTGCAGACCTCCCAATCCTGAAAGATGTCCAGGAAGCCAGATGACCATCCCTACCTACCACGTCCCTCTGAATCCCCGCTCCACTTTGTCTCATGCCAGGTATCCTTTTCCTTATCCACCTTTTCTGTTCTGTTTCTACTCTCTCGTCTTTTTCCATCTTGCTTAACCGGTCAAGACTGCATATTTTGTAACACTGCTGTAAGACTGTGACCAAAGAGTGGCAAAAAACAATGCCCTAAACTGTCTGATGCTAGTATGACTTTGCCAGGTCTCAGACCATGTGCCATGTCTATGTTCTTCCAGCAGTGAGGCTGCAAGTGAGAGTCAGATACAGACACTTCTAAGGTGCCACAAGTACTCCTTTTCTTTTTGCATTTTCAGTCTTTGCTGTTCTTTTCCTCTCCCTTTTAGGGAACAGGATCAGACTTTAACATCAACAGCAACAATGACAGTTCCAGCCTCTCTTTACTAACTACTAATCTTTTCCCCAAAAAGGACAGTTATTACCATCATTGGCAGTCTCTTTAGATGGTATCAAACAAGTATTTTTTCCTTCTAAAAACTCTCTCCAGCTAAAGGGAAAGGGAATAAGGAACGTTGTTAAAACAAAAACCTTATTCAATACTTTACATAGCAAACGCTGTAACCATTTTCCCTGTATCTTTAATAAAATGTTAAAAGGATTTTTAATGGTATGTTTGGCATGGCACAAAACAGGCTAAGGTCTCTGTATACCAAACCTTGTTTAAAACTGTTTAATGTTGGACAGTGACTGGGTTATGGTAACAGCTTTGGCCCATATATTCCATGTAAATATATACAACAGATCCTACCTGACACAGCTTGAACAATCTTGCAGCTTTCACGTAGCCTTTCTACCCATTATTTTTTGCTCCTTTGACATGAAATTTATTTGAAGGCAGGGAGTTGAGTCGACACAGCACTCCTCTCTGAGCGCTACGTGGCTGGGCTTCTCTGAATCTGGAGCATGGCTGGGCAGAGGGAGCAAAGCTGTGAGAGTGCTGCTTCTCCATGCTGAGGGCCCTACCAAATTCACGGCCGTGAAAAATGTGTCATGCAACTCCCTCTACAATAACCCCACAGTCCTTTTTGGGTCAGGACCCCTACAATTACAACACTGTGAAATTTCAGATTTAAATAGCTGAAATCATGACATTTATGATTTTCAAATTCCTCTGACCGTGAAATTGACCAAAATGGACCCTGCATTTGATAGGGCCCTAACCATGACATTACACATGGCAAACCTATGAGGATTCTCAGCAGATTGCTGCCAAAGTAAATTTTTCCTACTTTTTACTCCTCCAGATCCTGAAGAGCTAGCACAGCTCTGGGAGAGGGAGTTAAATGTTATTCTACCTCATGTAACAGAACTGTAGACCAAGGTGCTTGCAAAGTCTTTATGGATCATCCATGAAATGGAAAAAGCACAAATGTGCTAATGCCAGTGCGAATGTGCAGAGCTAGCAATTAAAAAAAAATCTTTGTACTTGTAAATTGGTCCCATTCGATGCGAGATCACTGAAAGATGAATATGGAACTTATATGCTGCTTTCCCTAAGTCATTTTCTACAGCAGCATCTTAAATGTGCTACCTGTAGAACGTACCAACTGGTTACGGGCCAGGTAAAACCTCACTCTCATAGGCGCCACTTTCAAAACTAGCTGAGTGTGAAAGTGAAGCTCCAATGACAGAACCCCCAAAGTCGGGTGCCCCTTGCAGGTTCTCTTTCACGGCTGTAGATGGTTTTTCAGAGCACAGTTGTACCAAGAGATTTTTGCTCTGAATGTTCTGAAATACCTTGCAGCACCTTAATAAAAGCTTGCAGAAAAACCTCAGAGGGGGTTTAAAAACACCATAAAATTCATAAAATTTTTCCCAATTGATATAATTAAGGTGGTGACAGTATCAGAAAACTTTGGCTTGCATAAAATATTAATTAGTTTTAACATTAAGGTTCTAAGTAGAAACTAATGATAGTTTAAATATAGAAAATCCAACATGGCTTACCAAAACGGCAGAGATGGGGGATGATGCAGAAAATTTAAGTAGTGGAAAGTTCTAGCAAACAAGATGGCATCAGAGGGAGGAGCTCAGAAAGGTCTAGAATCCAAGATGGCATCAGGGGAGGAGCTTAGTTATCTAAAAATAGGATGATGTAGGAGGGGAAGAAGCAAGACAGGAAGTACAAATATGCTAATAAAAGGGGGAGAATCTAGACAGGAAGATGAAATATGCTAATATCTGGAAGCAGATTGGCTGAGCCAGACAAATTATATTAATGAGCTAACCTTGAGCGAGCAACCAGTATATAAGGCAGACAGCCAGCAGGCTGAGACTGTAGCAAGTTTGACATAGTGAGTTCGACAGCAGACTGAGAAGAGCAAGAGTGGCAAGACAAGACAGCACTACCTAGAAGATCAAGAAGTCTCAAAGATCATCAGCAGAATTCTAAGGTTGCCTTGGCAACGAACAACTGCCTGCTAGCAGCTACCTTGCCAGCAGCTCGAAGAGAGACCGCAACTGTAGAGACTACAGTCCCTAAAACGAAGACAGATCAGAAGGACCTAAGACGATACAGAGGGAGTTTTGGATATAAGTGTAAGTCTGATCTTCTTTTCTACCTACCATTTAAGAATATATGGATCTGTCTATAAATAAAGCCAGATGCCTGTGCCTTGAGTGAGCTCTCCCCTACCCATCCTGCAACCATTTGGCCAGCATTTGTAGGATGCTCAATTTTAAATGTTTAGTATTAAGTGTTAATATTGATGCTAAATAAATGTTTAAATCTGTGAATACGGTAATGGTTTTTCATAAGTGTATATAGAGGTCACATACACCATATTGTATTAAGTACGGGGTTAAATTGTATCACTAAAACTAAAAGCCTTTGTGTATATGGGATCCCTATATGCATGTTTCATTGAAACTACTGTATTTCCTGTATGTGTTAGATATCCTATGTAGTCTTTTTATTTTGTTGCACTGCTTTATTGTACAATTCTTAAATGTAATTCTATTGTGCTGTATTAAATGCTGTATCTTTTCTTGCCTTATTAAACCCACTGTAACTTCTATTTCTGTTAAATAAATAATTTTTGTTTTTGAAGAATTTCTGCTTGTGTGTCCATCCTTGAGCAGAAGGCTGTATCCGTGTCCTTTCAGGGGTTAGCAAGACTAGCTTGCTCTTGGGAGCTCTCTGCAGGTCAGAAACAAGCCCCCGGTAAAGCTCTGGCAATTCCTTTAGGGCGGGCCACAACCTTGTTACCCTTTTGTTAAATTAAAAGCATCATTGTAGGCTAATTTAATTGGCATCTAAATTTTAGGGTAACCCAGCGATGGGAAAAATTACATTACACTGCAGTAGTTTCTAGTGAAAAGTCACTTGGTTACTTGACACTGAATAAATATGAGAAGGAGAACATCTGTCTATATTGAAATGGCACTAGTTTAACTTTAGTAAAACTACTGGACACTCTTAATTTGACTTCAAGCTGGCTTATATTAACTCCCTAAGGAATCAAAATACATCAATATGTTAGGTTTAAATCCTACTGTGTCAACACAGGGATTTGCACTGGTTTCACTAGTTGCTGGAGGTCTTTTTAAACACACCGTTAGTTAAATCAGTGCAACTTTGAACATAGACAAGGCCTGTTTTTTATATAAGTCTGAAAAAAGCACTGTGGTATCCTTAGTGTCCAGCAGTCAGGTCCCTGGTCTTATGAGACAGAAGCCACCTCCACTCACACACTGGCCTCATACTATCCAGGGACAGGAGTTAAATATTGAAACACAAAACTAAAATGACAATTCCTCTCCATCACTCTGATCGTGCTCCTTGTATGCTGTATCTCTTTCCCCTCATCTTTCACCTGTCTTTTTTTTTTCCTTTCATTCATAAGCAATCTAGGGCAAGGGGACAGTCTTTGTCAGGTTTCTGTAGAGAGCATAGGGCCCCAGTCCTGTGGGTTCAGTACTGATCCAGGGGAAGCATCACCCAATGAAGCAATAGTACGACTTAAACATTTTATTTATCTGTTTCCCATCTAGATACTGACCATTCCTGCCATTTCTTAGCCTGCAATCTTAGATCACAGCTGTGGTTAGTAATAAATGATAACTTAATGCATCCCTATAAAAGAGCAGCGTTGCAGTGGGAACGGCTGAATAAATAGTTTTTTGCATATAATCTCTAAACAGAGGCAGTTCTTTGTTCTAACAATGTTTGCTATCAGGAAAATGTGCAGTGTACGCATAACATTCAGCCCCTGGACCATCAGATTATGGTGAATGCCTGCACGAGCAGCAGCCAGTGTTAATTTAACTTTATGCAACAGCTGGATCCAGAGACACTTATTTCCATGTTACCATCTTTCATAGAACCCAGCTGGAGAATTTTCAAACAAACAGCAAAAATGATACTAAAGAAATTAAATCTGAAGCAAAAATTAGTCCCTCCACCTGTGGCCGCACTGGGCATTGCAACACTTATAGAAGGTGGTCATGGGCTCATCAGCTGATCTGGTCTGAATCTGCATGAAGTAAGCACGCGGATGCTCACACTTGGGACACGGCTCTGCAAAAGAAACCAGACAAACTACAGTGAGTACAGCTCCCAGGGCTAGCAAAGCAATTCTTCATTCTGCCAGGGGAGCTCACTTCTAGAGCTGCTCTATCTGAAGGACTAGAATTCAGCCTTCCACAATCCATTCAAGAGCTATTTCAAAATGTCCACTGGCTCACTTTTTACATGATGGGAGAACTTAAAGGGCCTTCAGGGGTAGATCAGTAACTCTGGCCACTGTCCTTGAGAGCACTCCCTAATGCCAACGGATTTAACATGTTGGGGACTATCTGGTTTCTAAGATACAGCGGGGCACTAATGCTGCTCTCATGGCCACTGAAAGGTAGGGCCAGAAGTCACTTCATTCTCAGTCGAAAATCTTGCAGGGTACGGGGCAGATCCCAATGGGAGTAGGGAAATGGAAGCACAGAAATAGCAACAGCTCCATGCACATAAGCAGACCCAGAATATGCTGTTCAATATATATATATATAAATGATTTGGGAAAAGGGGTAAACAGTGAGGTGGCAAAATTTGCAGATGATACAAAATTAATTCCAAAGCACACTGCAAAGAGTTGTTATGAATGCAAAGAGTGCAATGTTGTTAAATGCAAAGTAGTGCACATTGGACAACATAATCCCAACAATACATACAAAATTATGGGGTCTAAATTAGCTGTTATGACTCAAGAAAGAGATCTTGGGAATCATTGTGGATAGTTCTCTGAAAACATCTACTCAATGTGCAGTGGCAGTCAAAAAAGCAAACAGAACATTAGGAACCATTAAGAAAGGGACAGGCAATATATAATACCACTATATAAATCCATGGTACACCCCCACCTTGAATATAGTGTGCAGTTCTGGTCACCCCATCTCAAAAAAATATATTAAAATTGGAAAAGAATAGCTAAGAGGGGATATCATAGAAGTCTATAAAATCATGACTGATGTAGAGAAAGTGAATAAGGAAGTGTTATTTACTCTTCATAACACAAGAACTAGGGGTCAACCAATGAAATTAATAGGCAGCAGGTTTAAAACAAAAGGGAGTGTTTTGTCACATAATGCATAGTCAACCTGGGAACTCACGACCCGGGGATGTTGCGAAGGCCAAAACTATAAAGGGGTTTCAAAAAAAAGTTAGGTTGATGGAGGACAGGTCCATCAATGGCTATTCGGCAAGGTGGGCAGGGACACAACCCCATGCTCTGAATGGCTCTAGCCTCTGACGGCCGGAAGCTGGAACTGGATGACAGGGGATGGATCACTTGATAACTGCCCTGTTCTGTTCACTCCTTCTGAAGCACCTGGCATTGGCCACTATCAGAAGACAGGATCCTGGGCTAGATGGACCGTTGGTCTGACCCAATAGGGCCGCTCTTGTGCTGGAGGGAGGCTGGGAGCCAGCCTGCCAGGAGCTGTTCCCTGGCTCAGCTTGTCCCTCAAGCTCTGGCTTGGCTCCCCGCCATGCCAGGAGGGCCCAGTGTCTCCCGCAGCGGAGGGGCCAACCAGGCATCACCAGCCGAGCCCCAAGGGCGATGCTCACCAGCCGTGGAGTCCACGTTCTCCCACGCCGCAGCGCCGCCCAGCACGTCGTCCACCTCCTTCAGCTTCGGGTACTTCCGGCTGCTCACCTGGGGGTCACACAGGCCGTGAGGCTCCAGCCCAGACCCCCCTGGGATTTCACCAGGCAGCCTGGGGGGGAGGCGCCTCCGCCCATGGCATGAGTCCCGCCCACATCGGCCCCGCCCTGCCAGCGACTAGCTCCGCCCCCAGCAGACCCTCCCCCTCAGGCCCGTCCCACCAGGCTCTGATTGGTTGCTCTGCCCCAGGAGGCGGGCTATAGGAGCTGGCAGTCCCCGCCCACCGAAGCACAGGCCTCGCCAGGCGAGGCGGCAGCAGGGGGCGCTGCCACTGGCGGGAGGCAGTACCTTGCGCGTGACGTTGCGCACGTAGGGACACGTGGTGCAGGCGAAGCGGTGGCATCTCGCGCCTTCCTCGGCCACCAGCACGTTCCCGCAGGCTGGGCAGAACAGCAGCATTTCCGCTTCCGGGTCACGTCGCAGCCCCGCCTCTTCCCTTTTCCGGGTCACGGGAAGCCCCGCCCCCGCTCAGGCCCCGCCCTCCTGGCGAGCCGCGGGCGACGGGCTGATGGCGGAGCCGGGCCCCGAGGAGGAGGAGCTGGCGCACGCCGAGGTGCTCGAGCTGTTCCAGGAGGGGCTGGCCCGCCTCGTGCAGGACCCGCTGCTGTGCGACCTCCCCGTGCAGGTGCCGCTCCCTGCCCCCCCCCCCGCGCCGAGCCCCGCCCCCCGCATTGTGCCGCGTCGCGGCAGCGCGTCCCCCGCTCTGGGGCGGACGCTGACCGGCCGCGAGCCGGACAGGAGCTGGGGGGCGTGTCCCGAGCCCGGGCGAGCTCCTCCCCCGCACGTGACTGCCGGCGTCAGCGCCCTGGAGCGTGGGGGTGGTTGGGTGCGCGCTGTGGGGTGCGCAGGGTCCTGGAAATTCCGGGGGGAGGTGCCGAGCCCTGGAGAATGCGGGGGTTGGGTTTCCGGCGTGGGGGGGGGGCAGGGTCCTGGAGGAGCTCGGGGGGGCAGGTGGGTTCAGGGCATGGGCAGTCATGGGGGGCAGAGCCCTGGAGCATGGGTGGTGAATGGGGGAGGAAGAGCCCTGGAAAAAGGGGGGCGGGAGGAAAAGCCCTGGAGAGGGGGATGAGGGGACAGGGCTGTGGAGGAGCTGGGGGTTGCAGATTGGAGGCAGGGTGTGGGAGGGGCAGAGCCTTTGGGGGCGGGAGGGGGAGGCTGGCAAGAGGCAGAGCCCCATGGCTGCAGGTGTCAGATGCTTTGCGTCACACCTCTCAGAGCACTAACAGGGCTGTGGGGAGTAAGGTGCACCTGGTGGTTCATCTGCCTTTCGCTTTCTGGACAGGTCACCGTGGAGGAGATCAATTCTCAGATTGCGCTGGAGTATGGCCAAGCCATGACTGTGCGGGTGTGCAAGGCGGATGAAGAAGTGATGCGTAAGTCCCTGACATGCTTCTCCCCCCATCCCCGGCGCCCTAGACTGACTGTCGGGGTTGTGCTGGGAGTCTCTCTGGGTATGTCTACGCTGCAATAAAAAGGCCACAGCACTGAGTCTGAGTAACCCCAGGTCAGTTGCTTCTGGCTTGCAGGGCTCAGGCTGTGGGGCTAAAAATTGCAGCATAGACATTCGGGCTGAAACTGGAGCGTGGGCTCTGAGACCCACCCTTCTTGTGCGTGGGTGCCTCCACAGATGCCCATACCATGGGTCGGTCTTTTATTGCAGAGTAGACATATGATCTAAGATCATACTGACGGCCTGCCTTAGTTCACTGGCCAGATCTTTGACCTAAAGAGAAAGGAGGGGCTAAAGGCAGGAGAAGTGGTTCTGCTCCCATGTGCTACTTCAGGGGTTGTGTAGGGCCTGCCCCTGCATACATGTATTTGCTATGTTAAATGACACACATACAGGGACCATGCTGAATGATCTCCCCTGCAAATCTCAGGCACAGCTTAGAGCTCTGGAGCATTGGTCAGTTAGAAGCAGGAGCCGGGGGGAGAGTGGTAGAGCTAGCTGGGGTAGTTGCTCGCAGTTAAGTGGCACTGGGCATGTGTGCAGCCTCCTACTGAAGCCAGGCTCAGGTGGAGTTGGATCTGGGGAGGACACTGAGACCAAAGTTCAGTTCCCACATCTTCTCTTGCCACTTGATCTAGTGGTGCCTATTCCACTGCATAGCTCACTCTGAGGTGAACTTCCCCAGCCAGGGTAGGGGTGGCATTGATGGGCTCTGGGGAGGAATTCCATGCTTGGTGAAAAAAGGCTATCTGCAGGGGCTGGGTTTTGAATGGAACCAGAAGATTGAGGATGAGTTCTAGGAAATTCAGCACTTAAGTATTGAGCCGGCTAGTAAGCCAGTGCAGTGGGTGCTGTGTCTGAGGTTGGGCAAGCCCCTCCACATGGCACCCTACCATGGTGATATTGTGAAGGGCACTAGATTGGTAAACTCCTTGTCATGCAGGGCTTTGAATACTGCCAGCAGGGTATCAGAGTGCAGTAGCTTAATGCCTTCTTACCAGGCTTCTGCAGCCCAAACCATCTCCTGAGTCAGACGCACAGGTTGGGGCCTAAAATGCTGTGATGCAATAAAGTAAAAAACTCCTGTGTGATAGTTGATAAAGCCAGGCAGACTCATCCCTACCTCACTTCTCACCAGCTGCCAAACTGGCTTTGTATCATACAGTTCCCAGCCCTGAGCCCATTCCCTGGGGTTACTGTGGCACAGGCTTTTGGATTGGAGCATTAAGGAAAGCCAGTCCTAGTGTTGCTCTTTATTCTCCACAAATAGCACAAAGCAACTCCACTTACAGTGCAGCTTCCAAGAGGTGAGAGTGGGGTATGGGAGCTGGAGCTCTGCCTCCCTCCAGAATGCATCTCTGGGGCCATTGCCAGGTGACAATCTTTTCCCTTTTAGCTGTAGTAGTGGTACAGAATGCCAGTGTCCTGGACCTGAAGAAAGCCATCCAGCGATATGTGCAGCTGAAGCAGGAGCGGGAAGGGGGCATACAGCACATTAGCTGGTGAGTTGGGGGCTCTTCAGAGGAAAGGGGGTGCTGTGGGCAGTCTGATGAACCTTGATACTACCGTTTCTCCTACAACAAGGGGAGCATAAAGCAGCCACCCACACAATCCTATTCATTTCCTTTTGTCTCTGAGGCATGTAAATCCTGGCCTTCATTTGTGTAATCAAACCTAGAGACATAACTGCAGGTGGAGTCCGTTGTAAAGCACATGTGGGCCAGAAAGAGCATGAAGGCCCTAGCTGCTCAGTCACTCCACTCTGGGCTGACCTGTGATAGCTGGGAACAGAGCGGTGGAAGGGCAGGCCACATACAGAGCTGCTGTCATCCTTATTTTCTGATCCTTTGTGGCTTGCTGCTGTTCCTGCTGCCCTCTGTTAAGTCACAGAATTTTGCTTTTACAGGACCTATGTATGGAGAACATATCACTTAACCTTTGCTGGAGAGAAAATGACAGATGACAAAAAGAAGCTGCGAGAGTAAGTATCAGGATTTCTCTATCTTCACTGAGCCTGTTGGAACTAGGAGGAGGCCTGGTTTGATCGCTGTTGTCAGACTGCATGTGTGTAAAACGTTTGTGTGTACAGGGGCTGGTCTTGTCCCTTTGATTCTGGTTAGATTTTCTAATGGAAAGCTTGAGAAGTGTGACTGCATTGCCTCATGGAGTGCTCCCAGGGTGTGTGTTATGTCAGTGAACTAGCTGTATGTCTTTTCCTGACCTGGGCTCAGGCATGAGTTTTCTCCCTGGGGGAATCTGTGACCAGTGAGATTAACCAACAGCCTCCTTAAAACTGTTTTTAGCTAACCACTGCAACAAAGCAATGAGAGAGAGAGAGATTTTCTAACAATAAACAGCCAACACACACACTGAGTCTCATCTGGTCTTACGGGTTTCAGAGTAGCAGCCCTGTTAGTCTGTATCCGCAAAAAGAACAGGAGGACTTGTAGCACCTTAGAGACTAACAAATTTATTAAAGCATAAGCTTTCGTGGGCTACAGCCCACTTCATCGGATGCATAGAATGGAACATATAGTTAGGTGAGAGAGAGAGAGATCTTATAAGCTTATGCTCTAATATATTTGTTAGTCCCTAAGGTGCCACAAGTACTCCTGTTCTTTTTATCTAGTCTTACACTTTTCTATATGCTCAGTTAGACAGGTTTTCCTCTTCAGTTACAGGAACAAAACAGAAGCCACTTACATTCCTCTAGCTGGCCCAGAACCTCCTGTGTCTTGGGGTTTCCCATTCAGGTTCCCTCTTGTTTCCGCTGTTCCCACAAAAGTGGGCTAGAGCCATTAAGGCTCCTTCTCTGGCTTGGTCTCAGTGGAAGCGATTTGGTGACTATTAGTAAGGGGTTCTCTTAGAAAGCCCTCTCTCTAGAGGTTGGTCAGCTCCGCTATCCAGGGTGAAAGATCCAGCCCCACTTATGATACACCACTGACCAATCTAGATCCAACATTTATAATTATTATTAAAGGAACACCCCCCCCCCCCAATGTCTCAGTACCTGTTTCTCACTCTCTGGGCTGCCCTCATAGTGTGCATGACTTCACGCTCTTGGGAGGAAGCTCAGCGGGGCATGTGTATAACAGTACAATATGTTGACTTGATGTTTCGAAGTCCGCAAACCTTGTAGTTCAACAGAGCAGCCATGAGTCCTTTCTCCTGGTGAAAAGCTATTTCCCTGATTCGCAGTTACCAAGAGTAGGTTCTGCATTCCCCAGGCTATTGCTGTTTCCAGAGCACCAACCACAGGTATGCATGGTGCTTCCCAGATAAATATGACATTTTGCCCTGAGGGGCTCAGTTTAAATTAGCCTGACAACACCATAGATGCCCACAGACCAAGGGAAAAAGAGGCAGGGGAAAGGGGGGTGTTATTTTTCCTCAGGGATCAGTGTGCATGTGTGGTGGTGATGGGGCTGGGAGGGCAGAAATTAGCTGGGACCAGGGGGTAAGTCGTTTTTTTTTTTCAGGGTATGGTTTAATGGGCAGTGAGGCATCCAGGATAAGATGAGGACAGGGAGCAGACCAAGTACAGAACCCTGGCACTGGGGAGAGGAGCCGTGCCACTGGTTGAGAGGCTGAAGGGAGAGGTAGGGTGGGAGTCATGATAACACAGGAAGAGGGAGTGAAGAGTGGAAGACAGGCTCCTGGCCCTGCTTAGTGGTATGTCACTTGGGACCTAAGTAAGAAGTTTACAAACCATCCCAGCTTCCCATACATATACTCAGTAACATGAGAAGAAGAGAGCAGCGCCAGCACCTGCTGCATTCTCTAGCTATTACAGACATTCTGGCACTGGGCACGCTGGAGCCAGTCAGATTGGACAAAGAAAATTGGCAGCCTCCATCCACAGACTGAAGGGGAAAGGCTTGTCTCCTAAATACAGTGTACGGATTGGTGGGTGCAAGAAATGCCTTTGCTACGAAAACCAACCCTCCCGTGCATGCATGATTCTCACACTGGGGACAGGATGAGAGAGAAGGAGGTGCATGTGATAGATGTTAGTCATGTCACTTAATGCATTGAATGACTGTAGGTCCTGACTTACTGCAGTGATGGGGTGAGAAGTTGGATAAATGGAATAGAATTCTCTGGTCACATGACTATTTGGTGTCCTGCCAATAACACGGTGCACCTCTCTCTCCTTTAAAGCATGGACTCTACCAGGTGAGGAGGAGTCTGGGCTGGGGGCATATAAAAGTTTGTTCATGGACATATAACAGCATAAGTCTCTCTGCAGGTACGGCATCAGAAATCGGGATGAGGTCTGCTTTATAAAGAAGCTTCGAAAGTGACCTGTAAGGTACGTCTTAAAGCTTCATGCACACATTCTGTAAGCCTATATCTTCATTAATCCAGGATCATAGTGCTCATGCTCATGGTGCCCAACGCTGCAACTCTCAGCTGCTGGAGCGCTCCAGAGTTGTTGCTGTGTTCCAGTCACTTTCAGCCACTTGTCCTACTATAATTCCAGGTCTCAGTCACATAGGCTGGAGTGAGGCCAAGTAGGCAGATGCCTCATCATTAGGCACTGCGGCTGTGACTGATATCAGTGAGGTTACCTCCCCCCAATAGTATTTTACAGCTAATAAATACTGCTCTCTGAAGGTTTCAGAGCAGCAGCCGTGTTAGTCTGTAATCACAAAAAGGTGCCACAAGTCCTCCTTTTCTTTTTGCTCTCTGAAGGAGCACTTTAATTTATAGTGAACTATTAATTCAGTGCTTATATAAACCACATAGCAAGAACACAACTAAATCAACCTACACCTTGAAAGCAGTGGAAACAACTGGTTCAGGTATTTAATAAATCACCTATTATCCTTGCAGTTCATGCATTTGGTTAATGCTGATATGGTTTAAAAAAAAAAGTTCTTGATGCATTTCCCAGATATCCTTAATTCTGAGCCACAAGATTATAGTAGAACAGCAGTTCTAGTTCAGCTGAGGTCAAGAGTCGCCTACTGTTTAAAACACACCTATTCTAAATACTCTAAAATCCACAGGGTGACTCGAATTGTTTGAAAGTTCTGTGCCTCGTGGAGACTGGTGCATTCAGGGTAGGGTTACTGGTCCAAATTTGGGGTCATTTGAGGAAAGGGTCCCCTCCCTAAATATCAGCTGTTCACAAAAATCATCTGATTCTTTCTTTTTTTGCCCATACTTGGGGCTCAGACTTGCTTCTTTATAAAGCAGACCTCATCCTGATTTTTGATGCTGTACTTGAATAGAGAATTATGCTGTTCTATGCCCAGGAACAAACATTTTTATATCACCCAAACTGGTGTTACCCCCCTGAGTGTTATCCCCTACCCATTTGGGGAATCAATATTGAAAAAATTACTGAGTAAAATACACTACTCCAGCATGGGTTGGCCCAAAGAGTATGTGTAAGGGCAGCAATCCTAGGGCTCTTCTGAAACCCGAGAGTTTGCAGGCAGACTGTTGTCACAGTAACGGGGTGGCTCAAGGGGACATGCTGTGGTCATTGAACCTGAGCTGCACCCATGTACTGAGAGTTTGAGCCCTTTCCTTGGCAGCTTTCAGAGAATGCATGTTGTGCACACTAGTTTCCCTCTACCTGCATTCTGCAGGAATCCTTTTGAAAGTTTGGCCCTGAGACCAAAATTTCTGGTTTAAGAGCAATATTGTCAAGGGCTCTAAAATCCACAAGTGGACTTGGTTTTACTTTAGAAGTACTGTCAAGGAAATTAGCATTAATTAAATACAGGGCAGGTGAAAGTCTCTAGTAAGCAATAAGGATAATGAAATCCTGATCCATGCCCTCCACCCTCTTCCTGTACAATGGGACTGAGTGTTATCAAAGAAAAGCAAGTGACTGGGCCATTTAGTCAAGGGGATCCTGATACATAGCACACCTAACATGAGCTGCTGCTAACACTTTCAGATTCTTAAAACTTTGGGGGGGCAGAGATAGGAAATATGGGGGATGGGAGGTGGTATCAGAGCAGTGCCAGGAGGTAGGGGGGGTTCAAGCTGGGGGCTCTACCCTTTTGCCAACCTTTGATTCTTAGGGCTGTGCTCTGGCACAGCTACTGAGGGGCCAGCCTACCTTTGGACAGCAGCCTTTACTAGTGTCAGGACCCATCCCAAATGCTGTTTTTGAAAACCCTGTTTGATGACGAGAGCTTCGATCAAGAACTGGGATTCCAAAGATGTAATTATACTAATTTTTCTATGATCCCTTAATGAATAAGGGATTGTCCTCAGAGACTTTTGCTTTCTGGGTGCTCAGAAGCACTGACAGAATCATAAGGGAGGAAATTTGGCACCTTCTTGCAATTCTTCAGTCATTCAGAACCACTGGAGGCCACCGGGGCAGAGGCTGACTCTTTCAGACCTTGAAACCAAAGTCTAAACAGATCCAGAGCTCTAGCCTCAAGGGCTTCCTTAAGCAAAGGGCATTGCAGACAAATCTTCCCATACTTGTGGGCACTAGGAATGAACTTCTGACAGATCAGATACCCAAAAGGCAAGTGGCCTTCTCCCAGACACTTCAGGTACTGTACATGGTTGTCTGATACTGGGAATACAGCTGGGCAGTAAGCACACCTTTTAAACCCCAGCTTTCTTTGCTTTTTTGGTTCCACCATACCTCAGAACCAGAGAGACACCCTAACTACTCACTAGGAGGGAACACTAAGTTTTTTGGAGGAAACTGGAGGAGTTCACAGCTGTCCAGGCATGCAGTTGGAAGGAACTGAGGTGGGGCGGGCATTCTGCCCCCTTCTATAATCTCCTTCGGTACCTCGGGGATACTGAGGGGCGGGGCAGTGGTGCTAGTAAAGGCACACAAGGTGGCGCAGTACCTATAAGTGGGACTATGCAGTGCCACTTGAAGAACTAAACATTCTGTAAGGGCAAAGTGCACCACTGGGCAACCTTAACTCTTTGTTAATGTAGTTAAAATGCTTTCAGCCACTATGAGTATTTTCAACAATATAACAAGGGTACTGTGTGTGCTTACTAAACAGTTCCGATATCTGGCTGGCATTTAAACTGGGGTGGCCAAAATTGGTCAGTCTTGGTTGATTAAAGTTAAGCACCTGAATCCATATTCCTGCATGTAATAAAGTGAACTGGTTTTCCGAATGCTAGAGGAAGCGGCAGCACTGCACCACCAAGCTGCTCATCGAGGTGCCTAACTTTAGTTATCAAGTTACAAAATTTTGTTTTGTTTGCATGGTATTTTTTTCAAATGCCAAGCTCCTAGTAATTGATGTAGGAAATGTTGTGTCTGATACAGGATGCTTGATTGTCCTAAGGTAACTATAAAGAAAACACAGCAACATACACCACACTGAGAGTGCCCAGCTGGTGCCCAAGGTCGCTTGCCAGCCTGTGGGAATAGGGGCGGCAGTAGCAATGTCTTGATTTCTCACTCTTTGGTTACAGCTCCAGGTGCAGCATTCCCTCTGCTGGAAAAGGACTCAGTCCAGGCCGTTACTGCAGCAGGACCAGCCTGCACATTCAGCATCTTTCCAGAAGAGAAACTTGTGGCATTTCAAAGCAGAGCAGATGCAGGAGGTGATAAATTCTTGTATAGGTTAGTGTTTGAATGTGGTGGTTGCTTTTGCTGTGCCCTGGCTATGAAGGGCAAATGGTGCACAGTGATGCTTTTCGGAGCCCTCTGAAGTTCTGTCTGCCAGAACTTGATGCCACCATAGGTACAACCAGAAATAAAGGACTCAGACTAATAATTTATGCAGCTGTCTTGACCAGACTTTGGTCATGAAGCAATCCAGACCACAGAGAAGCAGAACTGAGCCTGAGCTACTGCAAGCTTAAAAAAATGGATATGGTAAAGGTGTGGAGCATTGCCTCTAAGAAGCCATAAATGGAGGCGTGAGGCCTTGAGCCCAGGAGATGGGAATCAGACCAACAGCAGCTAGAGAGCGTGCACGCAGTCAGAGGACTGGCCTGTATGGAAAACCATGGCATTTGTTGCTTTTGTGCTGCCCTACCTCCAGGAGCTTGCTCCCTTGGTGAGACAGGCAGGATGTGATGGCCTTGGAACAAGGAACTGGCATCTATAAAACAAGATGACACCAGCCCCATGTTGCAGAACACCAGCCTGTGTGTGTTTAAATAAATTTAATAAAAAGGGTGTGATGGGTTTGAAGGAGGAGTGGAAGGTGTACAGGATCAGGGCCTATACTAGTCAATATTCATCCTGTTCCTATAGCTACTAAATCACTACCCAGTCAACTGAGAATTTAAACATTTTGGAAGAAGTCTCTGTGAAGGTTCCCACACAGCTGTGCCACCTTGCTAGAAAACCTCTAAAGTCCAGGATATCTCTGGTAGCATTCTGAAGTGTTTCCAGTTCCACACACAGAGCCAGTTAGAACTGCAGGGGCTCAGTGTGCAGGTGTCATGGTGTAGGGAGGAGGGTTTTAGGTTTATTAGGAACTGGGGAACCTTTTGGGGAAAGGAGGAGCCTATACAGGAAGGCTGGGCTCCACCTAAATGGAACCAGACTGCTGGTATGTAAAATTAAAAAGGTTGTAGAGGAGTTGTTAAACTAAGGACTGGGGAATAGCCAACAGGTTCAGAGAGAGACAGACATCCCTAAGGGGAGGAACTGTTAACAAGGATGCTCTATAGCAGTGCTCCCCAAACTTTTCAGAGTCATACCGCCTCTTACCTCTGTTCCTTGGGCATGGGGGTTGGCCTGGGCCCCAGCTATGTCCCCCAAACAGTCATCCAAGCCCCACAGTTTGGGGACCTCTGCTCTATAGCCTAGTAAAGAGGAGAGGACAGAACGTACAGATAGGAACGAAAGAGAAACAGGAAATTAAAAAGGGACCTAGTTGGTCTCAAAAGAGTCCTAAAGCTCTAATCAGTTGTGTCAACCTAACAAAAAATAGAAATGCCCACGGCTGGTGATGGGACACAAGATGGGGAAGGCTCTTAGTTACCACAGAGAATTCTTTCCCAAGTCTCTGGCTGGTGAGTCTTGCCCACATACTCAGTGTTTAACTGATTGCCATATTTGGGGTCAGGAAGAATTCTTTTCTCTGGGTCAGATTGGCAGAGATCCTGGGTTTTGTACTGCAGGCAAGTCAAGCAGGTGGATACAGGGCAATTAAGGTGAAGGGAGCAAATAGGCATGGTTCACTACAAGTACAAGTGAGTCTAGCAAGAAGCAGCTCATGATACTTATCACACTGATTTCACATAAAGAGCCATCACTAGGCTCTTTATGACTTGTCCTACTGCCACAAAGGCTCAAGGGCTTAGCCTACAAAATGGTGAGCATGTACACTGCTATAGAGAATTCATTATGGCAACTACTACAAAACAATAAAGTAGAATCATCCTGCTGGGACTGTGGGAACCTAATGCTGCAGACAAAGGGAAAGGACGTGGCCAGTAGGTGCTGGAGACAAAGTGCTTAGGATAAAGCAAACAAATATAGCCATAGACTGTGCAGAATAGTTAACAGTAGCTAAAACGCTACCTTTCTATTTAATCACCACCTTAGCAGTAGTAAACAAATCTGGTTAAAAATGTAGTATTAAAGTAGTGTAATAAAAATATGGCAGCAGAAAAAGTTCAATAAATTGAACAAGGCACAATTGTTCTGTTTTCAGAAAATGTGCAAGTCTTCTGAGATAAGGCAAAATAGGTCTGCCAAGGGCTGACAAGACAGTTTAAATTAACCATGGTCAGGGTTAGATGTGTCACGGGATGAGGAGGTGTTGTCCATGTGGAACTGGCCCAGCAGCTGCAAAGACAATCCAACTCCAGGACCTGCTTGAGAAGCCAGTCTTCGCCTTTCAGTGGAGCTGTGCGTCTAGATCATATTTCTCACAGAACTTGTCTGTGAATGGAATACATGTGAGGAACTCACACCATTCACACTTGATCGGATAGAAATAGAACAGAATCACGAGTCCTGAGAAGAGTCCAATGAAGATGAGCTGGAACACTATAATCTGGCATCGCTTCCGATATAAATCAAATTTCCCAAAGCTAATGTAGGGCAGGAAGGCAAAGGACAAGAAGAGGCCACTGATGAATCCTGAAATGTGGGCAAAGTTATCAATCCAAGGCAGGAGGCCAAAGGCAAAGAGGAAGAGCACCACAGCCAACAGCTTGAAGAAGGCCCTCCATGGCCGTGCCAGGATCTGCCAGCTCTGGAAGAGTTCCACAAAGAGACAGGCCAGGATTCCAAACTGGGATCCTGCGGGGCCCACCTGCAGGAGGAGGACGACACAGGTTACAGAGAGCGAGACCAAACCAACCCAGCTACTGATTGCTCCTGCCGGGTCTCAGCTTCACAGAGGTGTGTCTCTTGCTATCCAGTGCTATCAGCCACTAGAATGCTCCATGTCAGTGACTCTGAGGAGCTGCCTCATTCTGAGTCAACAGCTAGCAGGGGAGCCATTTTCTACTGGGGGGGGGGGAGGGGAAGTATCTGCATCAGGCCTTCTGCCAGTTTGATTCAGCCTTCACTCCTTGTAGGGTAGCATTAAAGCAACAAGCATGCTATACAGCCCAAGCTAGATACCAGTATCCAGGGGTGAGGAATACAAGGTATCCTCTAGGCTAGTGATACTCAGGCCTCAGTGGTTCAGGAGCCAAAGTAGCTATCAACATTACCCAAAATAGCCACAGTAGTGTGAATTCATTGTTTCATTTATTACAGTGCTATATATTCTCACAGCAGAATGACTGACCAAGTATATTATTATCAACTGTAGTTGGTTAATAATATAGTAAAACATCCTGATGGTGTGATTTTAATTATTAATCAATCTAAGTTATTAACCAGTGTTTTAATGTCATGTGCTCCAAAGAGGCCTCAGGAAACATATTAAAGAAACACTTGCTGCTCGCGAGCCTCAGTCTGAGTATCACTGCTCTAGGCTCTAGTATTCTTCTAAAATGCATCAGGACATCAGCTGGGAGCATGAGAGGACTTTGGCTGCTGGATACAGTGGGATCTTAGAAGATGGGAGCAGGGAGGCAGGGTGAAGGTGTGAGGTGAGAGAGATGGAGGAAGGTGTGGGAGTAATATTGTATGTGCTTCTCCTGCCATGACAGTCTGTTTTAGTTGTTTGCTCCTTTTTCCCTGCCATGGGAACACTCAGCCTTTTAAGATCAGGGCCTGCCCATAGCCAGCAGCCTAAAGGCAGTGACCATTTGTGGAAGAGTGTAGGCATATTGCTCCTACCTGCAGTACAAACATGCTCAAGATCATTTTCAGGGGTAAAGAGTGGGCCATGCCTGGCTGCGGAGGCCTGGTGGCAGTAGCAACTCCCATTGCTGGGATTCTGTTTAAGGCCAGTTCTACACTACGTCACTCAAGGGTATGAAAAATCCACAGCCCTGAGGGACCTTGTTATACCAACCTAACCCCCAGTGTAGACAGCGCTGTGTCACCGGGAGATTCTCCCATCAACAAAGCTACTGCCTCTCAGGGAGATGGAGAAGCTCTCCCGTCGGCACAGGAGTATCTTCATTTAAGCGCTGCAGCAGTGGTGCAACAGCTCTTGGACATTAGCTATGGAGTTCTCAGTCTCTGGTCTGTCAGGGGCCTGAGCCCCTGCACTAGGCTAACTCAAGATGGGCACCCTATCATGCTGGGCCATCTCACTGCCTCCTCAGGACCGTGGGCAGGGCCTGGCCTCACTCCTGTTTCTCGGGGCCATGTCCTGAAAGGGCAAGACCCTCAGAGGGTCTGGAGCGCTCTGGGGATTTTACTGCTCAGCAACTGGACCAGTTGGTCAGTGGCCAGTAGTGCAGCCCTCTGCCTCACAGGCCAGGGAGATGCAGAGATGGCCCATGACAAAAGTGGCAGTGGAGGCTGAAGTGCCAGGAGCTGTCATCCCACTCCTTATCCAAGTGGTGTCCACAAAGGAGGAGTTGGGCCACTCTGGGGTCCCCAGTCTGGGCTGTGCCTACAGAAGGTAACTGGAGGTGGGTGTGTTAGGGCTGGGTGATGTAGGATTCAGTGCTCCCAGCAGGTAACTGGGCCTGCTCACCTGCCAGAGACCTACCTCTGCTCTGTAGGGCAGGAATATTGCACTGGCCAGGTTCCCTGTGATGCCGCTGAGCAGGTAGATGATGGAGATGCGATGCCAGCCTGCCAGCTTTTCCAGGTCTCGCAGGATGGTCATCTGGAAACAGACTGAAACCAGGCAGTGCAGGATCCTACCAAATCAGGAGAACACCAGAGCTGAGGCAGCAGCTACTAAGGTCGTGTGCAGTCCTGCTCTGTAATCCCTGCCCCAGGCTCACCCATGGCCTCTGGCCTGCCTCCCACATGCACTTCAGTCCATGGCCCCAGCGAGCACCTGGGCCAAGAACATGAAATATTTGTAACTATTTTTGAGGTGCAGAGGAGACTGGCCCCATGCTGAGCACTGCCTGTAACACACCCAAGCAGGGATAACCACTCCCCACCCCTTGCAGGGAACCAATGAGCACCATGCCCAGGTATCCCACACACACAGACACTCCCCCCTCGCCATGACAGTGGCAGACACTGGTTTGTTTTTGCAGTGAGACTTACCCAGCGTGGAGGAAGAGGGAGAGCCAGAGGCGGTAGAACTGGTCAGGAATCTCTGGGTTTAGGAAGGGCAGGAGGCCACAGACATCATCCATGCAGTGCACCTAATAGAGAGCATGGTCAGCTGGAAGCCCAGAGGGTCTATGTCAGGCTAGAGTATGCTGCCCCCTCCTGCCACACAAAGGTATTGCTCTGCCTGTCTCATTGTAATGTGCCTAGTGCCACAGAATCTAGGCACCTCTGCACCTGCGTGACTGCCCCCTACAGGAAGATATGCATCTTCCCCCTGCTCACATGGGGGAGCCCACTCACCTGACTTCCTGTCAGTAGAGGAGCCTCCATATGGGTATTGGTGCTCTGTGCACCTGCCCTAAGTTACTCCCTGCAACTCTCCAGTTACCCTCCTCCACCCACAGAGCAGGGAAGTCATATTCTCCCCTCTTCATGGAGAGGAAGCAAAAAGACCACAAAGCACATCATGAGCAGAACTAGAACCAGGGTTCTGGTACCTCATTTCCCACCCCCCCCCACTCATTCCTGAATCCCTGCAGGGCTAGGGGGCTGCCTGGAGCACAAATCCTGCACTGGTCTCCAGAGAGGGAAGAGTTGCCTTTTCTAACTTGTTTGTGGCTCAGACCCGGGCCTGACCACCCACCCCCATTTGAATAAAGGCAGGAGAGCTCTGCGGGCAGTGCCGCCTCACATGGGGTCTGCTGTGGGGCACAGCAAGGGGCTCCCAAGCGAAGGGAAGGAAAGCTGCAAAATCTTGCCCAAATCTCATCACGCCACTTGGAGGAGACGGGGGAGAGGGAAAGAGAAGAGTGAGGGGAGGGAGGAGAGAGTGGCCATGAGAACCTGCCCTGCAGCCTTGGCCGTACCTGGGAGCAGAGTGTTGCCTCCTCATGGAAATAGCCCCGCATGAAATCACAGTACTCTCGGGATGTTATTTCACACCTGGGGAGGGAAACAGCAAGATTCATTTGTGCTATTAATAGCACCTGCTGCCCTCTTGGAGCCAGTCATGCTCTGCATGCTTCAGACCCCCTCATACCCTGAGTCCAGGCCCCAAAATTGGCACCACACTGTACCGGATTCAGAGATGTTCTTCCCCAGCACTGCTGTAGCCTCTCCCTGCCAGGGGCATTTGTGCCATCCTTTCTGCTGCCATTGTGTGTGGCGATGTCCCCATTAGAGCCAGGGAACCACTCTGAACAATCCACCCAGCAAATGGAGCCCTCACCAATATCCTCCCAAAACGCATCCTGAGTCACCTTTGGCACCTCAGTAAATCCCGGCTCAGAGTCACCACCGTGTCTCACCCAGCAAGGGGTCACCGCCCAACAGCCTAATGCCCTGGGTAGCCCTGAGGAAGCACAGGGGCTGGCTTGTGCTGCCCTTCCCCTTTCTGTCTAGGACCCTTGCCTGTAAACCCTTTTGGTGCAGAGACCAGGTCTTCCCTTCTTTCTGGGAGGTGCTCATCATGCTTCAGGGCACTCTTGGGCTTGGTGTACCCTGAACATCAGCCTCCAGTCTAGCTGTACAGCTCTAGCATAGACACAATTTACACTTGTGCAAATCCCATCAGTGTGTGAATCATGTCTATATTAGTAGTTGCACTACTACACCAACAGCTATGCAGGCCGTGTAGACAAGGCTGTACAAGAAGGCATTGATTTCTATTGGGATTTTGTTCCATGAGTCAGATTGGAACCAAGAACTAATGATCTCCCTGAAGGAATAATAACCCTAGTCCATTGATTTCCTAGCTAAAGGAGTGACAGACAGGGAGTCTGCCACAATCTTGAGGGTCTCTAAATCTAAGTACTACAGCATCCATTGCAGGACTTTCTTACACTGTGAGAAACTTGAGGCAGGGACTGTGTCTGCCTCTATATGTGTACAGTGCCTAACACGGATCCTGATCAGTTCTCTGGGCACCACCACCATGTGATTATGCTGGAAGGTGCTAATGGCTGCCAACAAATTGGTCTATAGAAAAATCACAGAAGGAGCAATTGAATAACCCTTTATGTAGTGATAACTGGAAACAAGAAGCTACAGCCCAAGGACACAATTAAGCAATGTGGTCCCAGGGTTTCCCTAGCAGTGATTGCAAATACAGGGGCTGAGGGATTGATTGGTTGCAGCTGTGTGTTCGTGCGCAAAAGGAGAAAGCCAGAAAAACTAGTGTAGCCCTGAAAGAGATCACAGACAGCTTCTCAGGGCACAGGACTCACTGGAGAGGCAGACTTTCAACTTGTGAGCAAGGAACTTTTGTTATTTGTTCCTCCTATGTTCCAGGGAACAGGACTCTATGTCTATTCTTTGTAAATAAACAGGATCGCACGAAAGAAATACCTGACTCTTATAATCAATTTCCCCTCCTAATGGAGCAACCCCACAAGACCCCAATTATTGGCTATCCATATTGGCCAAAGGGGCACCTGTATAAAGAGCAAGAAGTTCCTCTTGCTGAAAGCCAGCCAGACCACCACACTCATGGTTTGCAGCACTTATTGATTCCCTGTCCATTATTATCTAACCTCTACTGACAGCTCCTCGCCCTGCCTGAGGATCTGGCCAGCCAGGGTAGCAGCTGCTATAGTCCCAGATAATCATTCCTCCTGCCAGGAAGGACAGGCACCCGGAATGACTGTGACCCTGTCATTACATATGAGCCAATCCCAGGAGCATGTCTCCCCTCCTGCTTAAGAGACCCCCAGCACAGGGCTCTCCCCTCCATCACTGTAACCTGCCCCTCTCTGGTCTGCCCGCTTCTCCCTGCTCCCCCCATCCCTCCAAAATGCTTTCCCTGTCCCCCTGGCCACATCAGCACCCGTTGCTTACCACATCAAATTCAAGCACCTAGCCCTCACTATAGAGCCTGCCATCTCTGCTCTTTTTCCCCAGCTCCCCTCCCAACATGCTCTCCTTTCTGCTCCTCGTACACTCTGCTTTGTACGCTGGCTCGTGCTGCTCCTGCGTCTGGCACAGCCTCCCTAATGTCACTACCAAGTGCCTTCCATCCTCCGTCAGATCCCTCCATAACTCCGTCATGCTCCAGCAAAGGTATCATAGAATATCAGGGTTGGAAGGGACCTCAGGAGGTCATCTAGTCCAACCCCCTGCTCAAAGCAGGACCAATCCCCAATTTTTGCCCTATATCCCTAAATGGCCCCCTCAAGGATTGAACTCACAACCCTGGGTTTAGCAGGCCAAAGCTCAAACCACTGAGCTATCCCTCCCAGGAGCTCTCCCTCCCGCCTCACTGTAATCCCCACAGCTTCCTCCACTCAGCCATTGCCAGAATCTAGCTTTGGCCTGTCAGCTCCCCAGGACAAGGGACACACCTTAACCTATGTGTACAAAGACCATCTCCATTTCCAGCACGACAAAATGCGAGGCCCATTCAGTTTACACTGCACTCAGCAGGGGATGGCAGGCTGCTGGACCACCCCAAAGCACTACCAGATCATCAGATGGGCAAGGAAAACATTTATTCCCTTCAATGAGGAACAAACGTGAGGGCTCCAGATCTGAAGAACAGGTCAGTCCATTCCTAGTGCTCTGCAGTGTCAAAAAGGTGGCTCAGCAACCAATGCTCTAGACCCTTGCACACATTCTGTGCTGGCCAGAAGCTGCTGCCAGGGGTGGGAAATGCAGAGGGTGAGGGGGGCTACGAAGCATGCTGTCCCCTGGCCCTCTCTGCTGGAGCCTCTGGCTTCTACCTTTCTGCTCCTCCCCATTCCGCACAGGGCAGGGCCTGGCTCTCTAGATGCACAAGCCTGAGTTGGTTCCATTTCTGTCTGATTTCCCTTTCACAGTAGTGCCCTGGGCCGCACATAGCCAGGGAGACACTACCCTCTGTGGAGAAGGACAAGTCCCCCGTACCTACATGCAAATCGCACAAAGCCTCTGCAAATGCACTGCGTGCCTCATCCTATTTGCAGCCCTCTGCAGATGGGCAGGTGGCCTCCATTACCTTCCTTTGGTCCCAATACAGCAGGGCCTGCCTGTGATCACGCAGTCCATATGAAGGTGGTTGGTATAATTCCCAGCGCTGTTTTTGGTGCAGATCTGGATAACAATAACAAACGGAATGAGATGGATGTGGAAACCTTTCCGCCACCTGACATGTGGGGAGGGTGCTGTGGCCGTACTCTGAGCCACCTGTGACCAGGTTCTGGGAGGGGATGGGGCTGGTGCTGTGGCCACGTTCTACCTCCATCTGATTTTGCAGGGGAGCGGTTAATGGGGATGCACCCAGGTTTGCAACAGAACAACCTGATCATACATAGCTTTTTAGCTGCCAGTTGGGTGGCCCAGCCAGCCCCCTCCCCAAGATGGGCTCCACAAGCACAGGAGCAAAATCCCATGCAGGCTCCTCCCAGTTACAACAGTTCCCTTGGCTTCTGACTGGGAGAAGCAGCCTTAACAGTCAGCCCTCAGGAGAGCACTCAGCAGGCTGGCCTAGTGCGGTGAATCCGGGCCTGTCTATCCTGGCCTAGCTGCTTTTCCCCTCCCAAACACCACAGTCAGATCAAAGGTTCAAAATCTCAGCTGACTGGAGTCACTGTTCAAAGATCCAAAGGCCTGGCCGAGCTATGCTTGAAGCTCCCCCACACTAGTGGTAGCTGTGGGCCAAGTCAGCCCCCAAAGCAGCCTGGGCCCCGCACAGCCCTTGCCCAACTCTTCCCTTTCTGTGTCTCCCGGTTCTCTGAAAGAGGAAGCATCTCCTGGGGCTGCCCCTGATCCTTCACCCTCCCCCTGCACACAGCACTGATTTCTGTCTGAGGGCCTGGAATTCCCACTGACTGGTCAGTAGAGGATGTGCAAAGCATTTCTATGGTGATGAGGTGAACGACACAGGGCTGAGCCCATCTCCAGCGCCTCTGTTCCTTGGGCGGCTATGAGGCTGGTGTGCTTGGCACCGTCTGTGCCAACCCTGGCCTGCAACTCCCTGCCCCCCACCGTGATTCTAGCAATGCTCACCGGCCATTTGGTGATGTCATCAGGCCATTCATGGGGATCCATCGATGCTGGCTGCTCACAAACCCTGAGGCAACAAAATCCAACAGATCAGCTGGACAAACCAGGCAGCAGCAGACAGGCGCAGGCCGGGGAGGAGAACCCCCACTGCCAGGAGCTACAGCACCATGCTGCTGCCGCAATCCCCAGGGTTTCCTCCAAGCTCATGTGCAATGTCTGTAGGGCTGAGGACAGGTTAGGCTGAGTCAGGGATCGCTCAAGGTCAGATGGTCCAAGCTGCCATTGGCAGTGTTGTGCCACAGGAACCGAGGCCTCCGTATTGAGAGCACTTGTCATGGTGCTGTGATGCTGACTGAAGTGCAGTCACTTGAAGGGGAACACCTCGACTTCCTGGTGCATTAGCTGATTCTACCAGCATCTGGGCCACTTGCTGAGCAGCAAGCTGGCTGGCCAGCTACCTGACAGAGCACCCCAACTCTGCCCTGTCTGCCAGCTCTCAGACTCCTCTCCACGCAGGGCCAGCCCCACACCCAGCTACCAGCAATCCCCCAATGCACATTTCCCCCCTGCACAGGGAGTCCCAGGGAGATTCTCAGGAGTCTGGATGCTCCAGTGAAATACATGGCTCCAATAGAGGGCAGGGTGGAGCCACAGGAGGGGAAGCGACAGGCCAGCCAGGGTGGCTCCCATGGATTGTGGGCTTCTGTGGTATTTGCCATAGTCACAGAGCTGCATGCAGGTGGGGCCTGTGCTGCCAGCTCAGCAGGAAGCAGCTAGGAAGGCAGGGAGACTGCAGAGTGGGGAGCAGGGGATGGCATGCAGGGCAGGGCAGGTGCAGTGCAGGATGGGATGGCTCAAGCAGGGTGAATTCCAGCAGTTCTGAGCCAGGCACACAGGAGCTCCCTGCCTGGATGCTGCTGGGAGCTCAGGGAGAATATCAAGCACAGGCTACAGGCAAAAAGAAAAGAAGTACTTGTGGCACCTTAGAGACTAACAAATTTATTTGAGCATAAGTTTCCGTGAGCTACAGCTCACTTCATTGGATGCATTCAGGCTACAAGCGGACAGCAATGCCCATGGGGAGGAGGAGCAGAAATTAGACCAAGTATCCAATTGGTCTCTAAGCAGCACCACCCTTCCCCACAGCCCCCACGCTGTGCCCCGTTCCCTGCCCCCCTGCCCAGTGACACTCCACACCCCCTTCCCCACCTCTACCCAGTGACACGCTGTGCCCGCTTCCTCTACCCAGTGACCCTGTGCTCCCACCTGTGTCCAGCAGAGTTTGCCCCATGGTATATGAATGCATCAGAACCTCTCTCAGCTCCCATATTGGGGTAAGAATCTAATCATGCTCCTTCCTCCAATCAAGGCCCAGAGCAGTCTCCTTCTCCAGCTGTGGATCCACTCCCCTTGCCTGGCCCATTCTCCAAACAGCCTCTACTTCCTTAAGAAGCCCCAGGATAACGAGCTGTCCCACCCACTCCGCACAATGACTCCTCTGACTTGTTGCACAGACACGGCAGCCCCTGACGGTCACCAGGCGGAGAGAGGCTGAGCTAGCCCTGAGCCAGGCAGTGCCTACCTGGGATCCTGGTGACAAACAGATCCGAACTGTCTCTTGCCTCCTGCCAGTGTTGGCGTGCTGGGGTGGTGGGGCCATTTCACCCACACGGCCAGGGTGGACTGTGCAGGAGAGAGCAGAGGAGGCACGATTGAGCACCACAGGGCCCAGGAGCTCTAGGAGGCAGAGGCATTCATAGAGATAATCTGGGGGTGGGGTGGGGGTCACAGTGACTGAGCAGGGAACTGGGGGATCAGAATGAGATGGGGTCACACACGCTGAGTACGGAGACTTTTGGCAACCGGCCTACAAACTTAGCCTGATTGTGAGCTCAGCTGAGAAAAGTGAGGGAAAGTTTACGAACTGTTCCAATAAGCAATAACAACAAATGGCGAGGGGGAAAGGTATGAAAGGGAGGGAGACAGGCCGAATTAGTCCAAACGAAGAGGCCTATTACTATAACTCAGGGACTGTGTTAAGATCACGTTTGTGAAACAAGAGAAGTGCGAGATCAGAAATCAATGGACCAAAATTGGTGGGAAAGAAATTAGGTCTAATTGTTGAACAAAATAATGACGTGACAGGCTATTTCTCCCACCACTCCCTTTCGGGGGTCCTTTAAAAAAAAAAAAAAAAAAAAACACACTTCAGGGGGAAAAATCAAGAAGCTGCCAACAGCTGAGTGGGAGATGGGTGGACCAGAAGGAGTAAGTATTACTATTATGGCTGCCACCCCCACCATTCTGGGACCCCGGGATGCACCAGGACACAGTTGGGCCTTTGTCATCCTGATCCTGAGAGATGCCCTGACCAGACTGAGCCAGAGGGACCCAGCTGACACCACCACCTCCACAGGCTTCAGCTAAATCCCAGACGCCTCCTGGGATGTGAGACTGTCACACACGCCTCTTGTGTCTATCTTTCCTTCCCCACCTTACTTCTTCCCTTTCCTATCTCTCTTCTTTTCCCTTCTGTCTAACCAGAGTCTGGCTTAGCAGCCAAGACTGTATATTTTGCAACACTGCTATAAGCCTGTGACCAAAAAGGCATTTAAAAGCAACACCCTGAACATGATGCTGGTATGAGTTTGCCAGGTCTCAGCGTGGCTGATCAGACCGTGCACTGCACCTGTGTTTCCGCAGTAGCAAGGCTGCAAGTGAGGCAGTGGCAGAAGCTGCAGTTTCTATCTTTGCTGTCCCCTTTGTGTGTGTTTGTCTTGTGTTGCCTTCCGGGAAAGGGGATCAGACTTTCCCAACAACAACTTGAGCCCAGCTCAACTGACTTCTCTATTCCCCAAAAGGACAGCTATTACCTGCTTTGATACCATCTCAGGGACTCTCAAACAAGATTTTTTTTCCCTTCTAAAAACTCTTCCTAGCTAGAGGAAAAGGGAACAACAGAGGTTGTTAAAATTACATTTCAAATGTTTTAAACTGTTTTCTCTTTTCCGAATCTTAATAAGGTCATGGGATGTGTAGTGGTGTGTTTGCCATGGTATTAAGCAGGTGGAAGTCTGCGTCCCCCAAACCCTGAACGTTGTCAGACACTGTTTAACACCTTTGACTCTTTGGGCCCATTTATTCCATCTAAATGAATACAAGACCCAGGTAGGTGGGAGGCTGCAGAGGTCCACACCAACTGGGAAGGGAGGCTGGAGGTGTCACAGCTGCCAGGCAGGCAGGGAGACTGGCCTAGGGGTCCCATCCGCAGGCGTGATGATGAGCAGTGAGGGAGGAGAGGTGTGCAGGGCTGTGAGTGGGTTGCAGTGGGGGCACTCACAGAGCATTCCTCCTCCGAGGTCTGCACACAGCCCGACTTGTCGTTGCGCACACAGCAGGCCGAGTGCTTCTCCTTCTCTCGCGTAGCACTGATGAAGTTATGCACCTGCTGGTCCTGCCTCATACATGGCGAGAACTTCGCCCCCAAGTGGATCAGGGCCTCCTGGAAAGAGACAGGGCTAGGAGCTCAGCTGAGGGTCATGCAGGGGCCAAGGGAGGTCTCTGGGGGAGGAGAGAAGGAAGAGGCTTGGCAGCAAGGGGTCCAGGAGAAAAGGAAGGCAGGGGGAGGCTGGGCAACAGCTGCCTCTGGCAAGTCAAGGCAGGCGGGGATGAAGGGGGAGGGCAAGGGGCTGGGCACAACTAGCAATATTCACACATAATACATGATCCCAAACAAGTGTCGTCAGTCTCCGCAAACAACAAGGATCATCTTCACCCTGTGCAAGGTCCCCCTCATGCTGGTGGAGGGGAAAGCCCCAGTTAGGGCGGCAGCCACCCCTGTTGCACTGACCCCTACAGGACTTGGTATGTCCCAGCTTGTGCCCCACAGAGGCAGAGCCAGCTCTTCAGCAGGGCATGCCCCTGGCCAAGCTGCAAAGTGCCAAGCAGCAGAGGGCAGACCCCATTGGAGAGACACCACATGCTTCCCTAAGCAGGGAATGAGCCCATTTTACAGGGGCACCCAGCGCAGGCAATGCCACTCTGATGGGACCCTGAAAAGCTTGGCTGGGCCAGGCCACAAGCCCACTAGGAAGCATGTCAGAGCACAAATCGCCAGTCATGGGACCTGAGTGTCACTGGACACGCCCTGGCTGGTCAGGCCCTTGCACCAGGCTCACCGCTCTATGCAGAAACAGCAGAGCTGCTGAACCCCGCAGATGAAGGTGCGGGTGTACTATCTGCCCCAGCGCCAGGGACCCAACCCCAACTGGTGGGACTCACCGAGCTGGGGCCAATCCAGAAGTTTTCTTGTTGAACATACTTGACGTTTTCATAAATCCCCCTGTTCATCAGCACCTGCAAGACAAGAAAGCAGCAACCCCCTCTGAACCACATGGCCAGCAGGGCACCACAGGGCGCAGGCGCAATGGTAAAAAGGGGCACGAATTGGGAAGGAGCAGTGGAAACCTGCAATGCCTGGGGTAGCGGAAGCCCTATAGCAGGTCATCAGGCTCAGGTTTCTTTTAATCCAGAGCTCTCCAAACAGTCCCCTGGACCAGAAGGGAGTGGTGTGCACATGGCTTGCCCTGGCCTCTCAATTGATCTCCAGAGCCTCAGCTTTCATTAATAGACCCCTTCACCTCCATCTGTTCTGGTTGTGAGAAAAAACCTTGAAAACATGCCCCAAGTGTGATGGATGCAGCAATGTTTGCCGAAAGTGAACCCAGAGTGGTGTCCTGCCCCGTTCGTTTCACTGGTGCGGACTCAGATGCCTGGGATGCTGCTCTAAATGTCACCCTTGGAAACTGCTGCATTGCACATCAAAGCACGCAAGAAGAGGAAGGATCATACTACGATTATCTACAAGTGTCTCCCAAAGGGGAGGGGAGGGAGGGTTGTGTGGGCCCTTGTCAACACATGGCCGGCTACAGGAGGTGGGTGGAGATGTATTTTCTTGAAGGGGGACTCAGCTTCCCAAAATGTGACACCCCGTTTTCACCCTTTGGGAGGAGCAGGATGATGGGCCAGGATAGAATGCTGCAGCCGCTACAGGTGGGTTGGGATTTGTTTGGATTTTAAGGGAAATCCTGTCTCTGTGTCACTAAAAATAAATGTTTCCCTGCTGTGAACACCCTTCTGGGCTCAAGTGAGGAGGGGAGAGCGCTGTTAGATGTTAACTGGTGCCAGAGGACGCACAAACTTGAAGGGACGTGTGGGATCCTGTGCAAGGGAACTAGTACAAGCACTTCAACACAGCCTGCAAATCTAGCCCTTAATACCTCATGACATTGTAAGGTGTTATCCCAGGAGTCCTGGCTGAATTCCAGCTCTGCCCCAGACCCCAGCCTAGGATTCCACTCAGACACCTTCCTTCTAACCCGTGCTGTGGGGGCCAATGGGCCGCCAGGACCCTGCTCCTCAGGCTGAACAGTGCCACGTTGCTGCTATCTGACAGATGCAGAAATTACCAGCCCTGATGGGCTTGTCTCCCATCACTCAGTGCTAATGGCAGGAAGCCAAAGCTCACAGGCAGGCAAGCCCAACAGGCAGGTTTGTCTGCCCAGGCAACATGCTGCCCTTGAAAATCAGCCAGGCCTCTGCACAGTGGGGAATTTACAAGTCTGCAGATGTGTACGTGAATGCATGTGCGCTGTGTGGCTGCAGGTGTGAACATGGGCAGGTGCATAGGCCTGTAGGTGTGCGTGTGCGTGCAACTACAGCTGCCAGCCCCTCAGGTGAGCACATTTGGCTGCCAGCTATTGGCCGTTGTCAGGAAACGCACTGACAAGTTACAGAACGTGGGGAGAGGTCAGGGACTCTGGTAATAAACAATCGCTGCGAAACAAGCACAGTTCATACCGATTGGCAGAGGATTTACTCACTGAATCTACGGTTTCATGTTGAGAAAACCCCACGGGGGCAATGCCATAGATACACACAGCAAGGATTGTGATGAGCGAATGCACAAAGGTGACCCAGTAGGTGAAGAAAGGCCTAGACAGGAGATGGAGACAATCACAGATCAGAGCCAGGAACAAGATCATGTTCATATTTTCTGGAGGTGTCTTTGCTCCTGGAGCATAAGCAAAACACCTGCTAATTTACATGCACTTCAGTCTGAAAGGAGCTTTGCTGTGACCGGTAATGCCTGGGCCCCACGCACAGGTGAGCAATGGTCTTTTCTGGTTTTCATTAGCACAGAGGACCAGCCACAAGCCGATTCAGAGCTGGGACAAGACTGGAGGAAATGTTTTGGAGGGAGGGAGGATTGGAACCCGGGGTCACACCCTGCCATATTCACTTCTTATGAACATTTGTGCAAAGTTTCCGTGACACAAAATGTCAGGCCTGAAGCCTAAATCCATTTTGTGACTAAAAAAATTCATCAGGGAGGAGGAAAAAGGAGGAGACGTCTCAATTTCCCTGTCAATCTGGCTAATAAGACAGGTGGGTCTGTGCAGAGGACCATTCTCGTCAGCAACTAGCAGATGTGCTGGGCTGTCAAAGCCACACAGGCTCCAGGGTGCTCATGGCAGGATTGTCCCAATGGGCACCAAGGAAATGTGTTGAGTGGAGGGGTTCAAGGAATACACAAATAATCCCCACTGCAGGATGCATGTCTCACTCAGCAAGTGTCACACACGTACTCGCAGCGGGTGAGATGCATCCCACCCAGTCGGGGACATGCTAACCGGCTCATTGTAGCCTCTTCCAGCAACCCTTGCTGTAAAGGGGCTCGCTCCTCTCACCTGTGGTCGTCCATGTCCTCAATCTGCCGTTTCACGTAGCTGTCTATGCGCTTGCGGTAGGTGCGGTTGGTCAGCCTGCCCACCATGCCCAGTCCGTATGGCCTCTTCTCCTTGGCAAAGAGCTTTCTGACTGGGACGGCGATGCGCTGGCCGCGTCGCTGAGGGCTCATGCTCACCACTTCCTGCCGTAAGCGAACCTTGGGTTGGGGCAGGGTCCCTTCCTTCTGTTTTCTCCAGCCTCGCTCCAGGGGACTGGAACATAAAGCAAGACAGCAATGCTTTGCTTCTGCAGAGTGCAGCAGGGAGCAAAGGCCGTTCCCTGGGCTATGGCCACAGGGTCAGAGAGGGGGACAGGACAGCAGAGCAAGGGCTGGAGGGCTCCTTCCTACCCCAGCTATTAGCTCCTTGGAATTACGGAGCCAGGAACCAACCAAGCTCTGTTGTCAGAAGCTGGTTGAGGCAGGTAACTTAGCACTTGGCTCAGAGACCCCAGGGATTCCTAACAGACAGTCTGAACGCTCAACCCCCAGAACATCTGTCTACGGGGAGGAAGGAGTGGGGGCACTGCTAGATTGCACAGGAAACCCTTCCCTTCTTGCCTTTGCACCCAAGCCCCATCTCATCTCAGCACTGCCCGACCTGCCTCCCCATTCCCCACCCTGTCTCCCTAATGCCCCGTCCCCCCAATGTCTGTAGTGATAATCAATGTGGGCCATTTCCAGCAGTTGACAAGAACGTCTGAAGAACAGGGGAGGGGGAGGAATAAACATGGGGAAATAGTTTTACTTTGTGTAATGACCCATCCACTCCCAGTCTCTATTCAAGCCTAAGTTAATTGTATTCAGTTTGCAAATTAATTCCAATTCAGCTGTCTCTCATTGGAGTCTGTTTTTGAAGTTTTTTTGTTGAAGAATTGCCACTTTTAGGTCTGTAATCGAGTGACCAAAGAGACTGAAGTGTTCTCCGACTGGTCTTTGAATGTTATAATTCTTGGCGTCTGATTTGTGTCCATTGATTCTTTTACGTAGAGACTGTCCAGTTTGCTCAATGTACATGGCAGAGGGGCATTGCTGGCACACGATGGCATATATCACATTGGTAGATGTGCAGGTGAAGAAGCCTCTGATAGTGTGGCTGATGTGATTAGGCCCTATCATGGTGATCCCTGAATAGATATGTGGACACAGTTGGCAATGGGCTTTGTTGCAATGATAGGTTCCTGAGTTAGTGGTTCTGTTGTAAAAAGAAAAGGAGTACTTGTGGCACCTTAGAGACTAACCAATTTATTTTCGCTCACGAAAGCTTATGCTCAAATAAATTGGTTAGTCTCTAAGGTGCCACAAGTACTCCTTTTCTTTTTGCGAATACAGACTAACACGGCTGTTACTCTGAAACCTGGTTCTGTTGTGTGGTTGCTGATGAGTATTTGCTTCAGGTTGGGGGGCTGTCTGTAAGCAAGGACTGGCCTGTCTCCCAAGATCTGTGAGAGTGATGGGTCGTCCTTCAGGATAAGTTGCAGATCCTTGAGGATGCATTGGAGAGGTTTTAGTTGGGGGCTGAAGGTGATGGCTAGTGGCATTCTGTTATTTTCTTTTTTGGGCCTGTCCTGTAGTAGGTAACTTCTGGGTACTCCTCTGACTCTGTCAATCTGTTTCTTCACTTCAGCAGGTGGGTATTGTAGTTGTAAGAACGCTTGATAGAGATCTTTTAGGTGTTTGTCTCTGTCTGAGGGGTTGGAGCAAATGCAGTTGTATCGTAGAGCTTGGCTGTAGACAATGGATCGTGTGGTGTGGTCTGGATGAAAGCTGGAGGCATGTAGGTAGGCATAGCGGTCAGTAGCTTTCCAGTATAGGGTGGTGTTTATGTGACCATCGCTTATTAGCACCGTAGCGTCCAGGAAGTGGATCTCTTGCATGGACTGGTCCAGGCTGAGGTTGATGGTGGGATGGAAATTGTTGAAATCTTGGTGGAATTCTTCAAGGGCTTCTTTTCCATGGGTCCAGATGATGAAGATGTCATCAATGTAGCGCAAGTAGAGTAAGGGCATTAGGGGACGAGAGCTGAGGAAGCGTTGTTCTAAGTCAGCCATAAAGATGTTGGCATACTGTGGGGCCATTCGGGTACCCATAGCAGTGCCGCTGTTTTGAAGGTATACATTGTCCCCAAATGTGAAATAGTTATGGGTGAGGACAAAGTCACAAAGTTCAGCCACCAGGTTTGCCGTGACATTATCAGGGATACTGTTCCTAATGGCTTGTAGACTCCAACGAGAGACTGCTGAATTGGAATTAATTTGCAAACTGAATATAATTAACTTAGGCTTGAATAAAAACTGGGAGTGGATGGGTCATTACACAAAGTAAAACTATTTCCCCATGTTTATTCCTTCCCCCCGCCCCTCTTCCTCAGACATTCTTGTCAACTGCTGGAAATGGCCCACCTTGATTATCACTACAAAAGGGTTTTCCTGCCCCCTCCCCCCAGCTCTCCTGCTGGTAATAGCTCACCTTACCTGATCACTCTCATTACAGTGTGTATGGTAACACCCACTGTTTCATGTTCTCTGTGTGTATAAATCTCCCCACTGTATTTTCCACTGAATGCATCCAATGAAGTGAGCTGTAGCTCACGAAAGCTTATGCTCAAATAAATTTGTTAGTCTCTAAGGTGCCACAGGTCCTCCTATTCTTTTTGCGAATACAGACTAACACGGCTGCTACTCTGTACTCTGTGTCAGCAGCTCGTCAGGCCTGACATACTCACTACACCTAACACACTGTTGTCACAATCTGTATCTGACAGGTGGCATGTAAGGTATCATTAGAAAACAAAGAACTCACAGATCATTAATATTCTTGCATGATGTATGTATAGGGTGTGTTCAGAAATGTGTGCTAGAATTATATACTTAGCATGTGTTTGTCAAGCAATGCATAAGCACTTTGCCTTAGACACAGGAATGTGTATTTGCTTTTCTGACTGGCCTGGTTGACAGGCAGAGACAATGAAGGTCCATTTACATATTAGGCAAACAAATCCCCCAAGCTACCAAGTTGGGGAGGAGACAGCATGGCATCTACACAAGAGCAGGAGAGAGAAAATTGGTCTGGGTTTTACATTTCAAAGAATACACTGTAAAGGTTTCATCGTCTACAAAGACAGGGGGCTGATCCTCAAGTGATAAGCAATTGAATCAACTGACTGTATGCAATATCAAGGTATTATAACTATGTAGAGTGGGGTCTTTTAGGAAAGCCTGTGACACACTGGTGATTAATATCAATGAGAAATCTCTGCATTAACACTATATGAAAATTACAAATACTCACTGATATTACATTTTACAGTCTGTGACCAAACAAAGGGAGAAACAGGTCTCTACCAGACAGGGAAAGGCAGCTATCTATCTGTCCCCAATGAAATTAAGCAAGGTGTGACCAAAAACAATGGAAGCCCCATTAACACAGAAATCAGCAGGTGGATGGGAATCCCACAAGAAGGAAAGACCTTGAGGTCATCCTGCCTGTGATATGTAACCTATCACTTAAATCAGCTTCTGTGCAAGATAACTGACAGACAGCTAATGTAACTCCAATTCTTAAAAAAAGGGCTCCAGAGGAGATTCTGGCAATTACAGGCCAGTAAGGGTAACTTCAGTACCAGGCAAAGTCATTGAAACTACAGTAAAGAAGAGAATTATCAGACACATAAATGAACATGATATGTTGGGGAAGAGTCAACATGGCTTTTGTAAAGGGAAATCATGCCTCACCCATCTATTAAGAATTCTTTGATGGGGTCAACAAACATGTGGACAAGGGTGATCCCGTGGATATAATGTACTTGGATTTCAGAAAGTTTTGCAAGGTCCCTCACCGAAGGATCTTAAGCAAAGTAAGCAGTCATAGAATAGGAGGGAAGGCCCTCTCATGGATCAGTAGCTGGTTAAAAAGATGGGAGACAAAGGGTCAGTTTTCACAGTGGAGAGAGTAAATAGCAGGGTCCTCCAGGGATCTGTACTGGGACCAGTGCAGTTCAACATATTCATAAATGGTCTGGAAAAAGGTGTAAACAGTGAGGCGGCAAAGTTTGCAGATGATACAAAATTATTTAAGATAGTTAAGTTCAAAGCTGACTGAAAAGAGTTACAAATGGATCTCACAAAACTAGGTGACTGGACAACAAAATGGCAGATGAAAGTCAATGTTGATAAATGCAAAGTAATGCACATTGGAAAACATAATCCCAACTATACATACAAACTGATGGAGTCTAAATTAGCTGTTGCCACTCAAGAAAGAGATCTTGGAGTCACTGTGTTCTCTGAAAACATCTGCTCAATGTGCAGCGACAGTCAAAAAAGCTAACCAGAATGTTAGAAACCATTAGGAAAGGGATAGATAAGAAGACAGTAAATATCATAATGCCACTAGTGAAACCCATGGTACACTCACACCTTGAATTCTGTGTGCAGTCCCATCTCAAAAAAGATAGATTAGATATAATTGGAAAAATACAGAGAAGGGCAACAAAATGATTCGCAAAAAGAAAAGGAGGACTAGTGGCACCTTAGAGACTAACCAATTTATTTGAGCATAAGCTTTCGTGAGCTACAGCTCACTTCATCGGATGCAACAAGTACTCCTTTTCTTTTTGCGAATACAGACTAACACGGCTGCTACTCTGAACCAAAATGACTGGAGATATGGAACCACTTGCATATGAGGAGAGATTAATAAGACTGGCACTGTTCAGTTTGGAAAAGAGATGACTAAAGGGGGGATATGATAGAGGTCTATAAAATCATGAATGGTGTGGAAAAAGTGACTAAGGAAATGCTATTTACCCCTTCACATAATACAAGAACAAGGGGTCACCCAATGAAGTGTAGGACTGGAAGGGATCTCAAGAGGTCATCTAATCCAGTCCCCTGCACTCAAAGCAGGAGTATGTAATAACTAAACTATGCCCGACAGGTGTTTGTCTAGCCTGTTCTTAATAACCTCCAATGATGGAGATTCCATAGCCTCCCTAAGCAATTTGTTCCAGTGCTTAACTACCTGGACAGTCACGAAGTTTTTCCTAATGTCCAACTTAAACCTCCCTTTGCTGCAATTTAAGCCCATTGCTTCTTGCCCTGTCCTCAGAGGTTAAAAAGAACAATTTTTCGCCCTCTTTCTCGTAACAACTTTATATGTACTTTAAAAGTGTTATGTGTCCGTCATCGTTCCCCACCTCGCCCAGACTTCTCTTCTCCACTCTAAACAAACCCAGTTTTTTCAAATTTTCCTCATAGGTCATGCTTTCTAGACCTTTAATTATTGTTGTTGCTCTTCTCTGGACTTTCTCCAATTTGTCCACATCGTTCCTGAAATCTGGCACCCAGAACTGGACACAGTACTCCAATTGAGGCCTTATCAGTGTGGAATAAAAATTAATAGGCAGCAAGTTTAAAACAAACAAAAGGAAGTATTTCTTCACACAACACACAGTCGACCTGGGGAACTTGTTGCTAGGGGATGCTGTAAAGGCCAAAAGTATAAATGGGTTCAAGAAAGTACCAAGTAAGTTCATGGAGGATAGGTCCATCAATGGCTAATAGCCAAAATGGTCAGCGATGCAACCCCTTGCCCTGAGTGTCCCTGAGTCTCTTACTGCCAGAAGATGGGAGTAGACAACAGGTGACGGATTTCTCTATAATTGCACTGTTCTGTCCATCCCCTTTGAAGCATCTGGCACTGGCCACTTTGAAGACAGGATACTGGGCTAGATGAACCATTGGTCTGATCCAATATGGCCATTCTAACATTCTTGTATTATCTTATGTTGCCTCTCTAAATAAAGTCACTGAACTCTGGAAGATATAAGCAAGGACAGAGGTCATCTTTGGCATCCATCACCAGACAGACACAAGGGCCCAGAGCTCTGCAAGCTGAAAAAGATGGGCCCTTCAACCAAGGAGGGGCTGAAGCCACTGGAAACTGAATATAGGTGAGAAACCTGCTTAGGCCAAGACCTTTCACCTAGGAAGACAAAAGAAGCCAGCCTCTTGTGCTTTTGTGGAAGGCCCTGACTGAGGGAAAGTCAACCACGGCTGGAAAGAAGAATGACTGATGAGAGAAACCATCTTTAACAAAGCCTGTACCTTGCTAGATTAAGTTTTAAACTTTAGATATGTGCTTTCACTTGTATTTTCTTGTAACATCTCTACTTTTATTTCTTTTACTTGGCATCACATAACCTTTGTCCTATTAATAAATTTGTTTTTGGTTATTTTTGTGGTTTTTTTCTTATAAACCAACTCAGTGCTGTGTTTGAAGGAAGGGTGTACCTCCCCCAGTTAATAAGCTGTAATGTGCTTTTGTCTCTTTAAAGAAGCAAACAAACCTTATTACTTCTCAGAGTGGCCCAGGAGAGGGCTGGACATTTCAGGGCACACAGTTCTGGGAAAATTCAGGATTGGGAGTGCGTTAGGGTCACCGTGCAAGTCGCGACCCAGGTTGGCGGAAACCACGGTAGGGCTGTTGTGCTGGAGGCAGGCTGCTGGAGTCAGAGTTGCTGCTCCAGGGATGCACAGCATACAGACCTGCGTGTTCGTCTGCTGATGTCCAGGCTGTAAGCCACAGCAGCAGGGCGTTACAGGCAGGCCCCTCACTGAACTGCACTGCACCCCAAAATGTGACAATGCCTGTGCACCACGCACCTCAGATTGGAGAATTCTTGCAAACAGTGTCCGTTGGTCGGTGCCTATCCCCTTGCCACCAGTGTGCTCCACGCCGAGGATATAAGAGGTGGTGTGGACAGATGCCTCTCCAGTTCCGTCTCTCCTGTGAATGCAGACATGATCTGAGGCAGAGGGGAAGGAGGATGGGTAGTGGAATACCTATAAGAACTCCTGCTACCACAAAGTAAATTCCCTTTCTTCTTCAAGCACTGGTCCCTGTGTGTCTTCCACTGTGGGTGTCTGGCAAGCAGCACTCAGAGAGGAGGAGGATGCAGGTGGTATGGCTGCCTGTAGAACCGCCATTCTGAAGGATGTGTCAGCGGCAGAGTCTTGGGGTGGGATCCAAACTCTTCAGAGTGGACTCTGCTCTTGTGCTTATGAGAGAGTCCCTTGCTCTCATGTGGAAAACCTGTCAAAGGGTCCCTGGCCTTGCTCTTTCCTGCTCCTGTGTCAGGCCTTGTGCTAGGAGGCGTGCTCGTCGATGTACGGTGGGGTCCCCAGCCTGGGTCCGACTCAGGCCTCACAGCTTTCACCATGAGGTGCTTTTTAAGTTGGAGTTCTGGGTCTGGCTGGGGAAGGAGTGATACATATTGCACTTGGTGGAGATATGCACTTCTCTGAGGCAGTGTATGTATCACTGGTGGTCATTGCTGACCAAAAAGAAGCAGGGAGAGGAGACATTGTTTCCAAATACAGGTATTCTGGGCATCATCTAATTCCTGTACCAGGGAGGCAGGAGGTTTTCTGGGAAGGGGATTTAAACTACTCACTAACTATACTAATAAAACCCATTAACAATAGCTTCACTACAGAGCTAAAACAGTAAAATCTTTGACATATTTACAGGTTTGAAGACAAGGACGAGGCTGAAGAGAAAGGAGAAGCTCCAGACACTGGAGATTCTGAGTCAGGCCAGGAGGCAACAAGAAGGTACTTTAGAGGCAGTTGGTGCACACAGCCTCTTATGGCCTTGGAGTGGAGCGTGAGGATGGCAAAGGCAGAGGCGTAGGCAGTGGACACTGCTTGCAAGAACTCTCTGGTCTCAGACGCATTTGCAGCGCATGCTTATCCACAGTGGATGACACATAGGGGCTACCACTCAAAGAAGAACCAGAGCACAGCCCTAGGAAATCTCTTAACTGGTTCCTGGAAAGCCACCACAACAGAGCATGAGCTTAGGGTGGCTTTATGTTCTCTGGTATCTTCGAGTGACTGTTGTGGCTACCAGTAGTATCAGACTGTGTCCAATGGGGATCCACTGCCCACCACATCACTTAGTTGTGGTGTGGTGGGTAGTGAATATTGTGAGTGCTCAACTCTTTGGAGTGTGCATTAGGGAAAGAAAGAATCCACAGAAAATTAATAAGTGCACAAATAACACCCCCAAACTTTCCTGTGTGTTTGTAGGTTAGTTTCTGTGTTGCAAAGCATAACAGATGATGTTTTAAATGCTCAAAAGAAATTGAATAAAACAATCTTTGTAACCTTTAGGGATTCTCAGTGTATGAATGATTCGATACAAACCCTTCCAAGACACTCTGAGAAGAAGACTGTGTTACGTGTCACTTGGAAAATCATTCTTCTCGATGAGCAATATGGATTCAGATTTGACCTGTGGCCTAGCCTTGAACACCTCTGACTCTTGGGAGTTTGAGGCGTTTCTATGTGTCTTTAGAGAGAGGTACTGCCCTCTAAATTTCCTGCTATGAAGTCTCCGATTTGGTTTATGACCAGGTGCATACCTGACTCCCTGAACTGGCACCTTCAATAGTTTGATACCGTTCCCTAGAGTCTGAATTAAATCATTTTTGCTTTGATAAATAAAACCATTAAAATGATATAAAAATGGAAACACTGGGAATTAGTTTTGCCCAAAAATTGGATCTCATATTCTCGTTGGAAAAGTGGTGAACTCCCAGTATTACTTCCAGCATCTGTGTCACAGCTGGTAACATTCTCAATAACATGACGAGGGAAAGCGTTAGCACAATGAGATGGATTGTGAGCAGCAGAACCGCGACAAGGTCCTTCCCCATGTCTGCTGTGCATTCACACCCTGGTGAACTGATAGAGCCAAGAACAAGGCTGCCCTCTGACAGTGTGAGGTGCCAGTTACTCAGGGAGTCTCTGACTTATCAGGAAACAAAAGGAAATGACATAGTTTGATTCCTTGCTAGGGTGAGGAACCAGTTACTAAAAGGAACAGTCACAAGATTGAAATGCCCACAAGCTGCATGGAAATTTTTTAAAAACACCATAATAGAGGCTCAAACTATATGTATACCCCCAAATTAAAAAAATAAATAAAAAGGGAAGCAGACCCAAAAAATGCCACCATGCCTAAACAGAGTAAAAGGAGTGGTTAGAGACAAAAAGGCATCTTTTAAAAACTGGAAATCAAATAATACTGAGAAAAACAGAAAGGAGCATAAATTCTGGCAAGTCAAGTGTAAAAGTATAATTAGGCAGACCAAAAAATTTTTTAACCAACTAGCAAAAGATTAAAAAATTGCTGTTAATTTTTGTAAGTACATCAGAAGCAGGAGACTTGCCACATAATCAGGGGGCCACTGGTCAACAGACGTGCTAAAGGAGCACTCAAAGAAGATAAAGTTGTTGCAGAGAAGCTAAAGAAATCTCTACATGGATCTTCACTGCAAATGATGTGAGGGAGATTCCCACACGAGCATTCTTTTTAGGTTATATATCTGAGAAATTGTCCCAGACTGAGGTATCAATAGAGAAGGTTTTGGAACAAATTGATAAATTAAATGGTAATATGTCACCAGGACCAGGGATATTCACCCAAGACTTCTGCAGGAACTCAAATATTAAATTGCAGAACTACTAACGGTGGTATGTAGCTTAGTGCTTAAATCAACTTCAGTACCAGATGACTGGTAGACAGCTATTGTAACGCCAATTTTTAAAAAATGCTCCAGAGGTGATCCTGGCAATTATAGGCCAGTAAGTCTAATTTCAGTACCAGGCAAAATTATCAGACACATAGATGAACATGATACATTGGGGAAGAGTCAGCCTGGCTTTTGTAAAGGGAAATCATGCCTCACCCATCTATTAGAATTCTTTGAGGGTGTCAACACGTGGACAATGGTGATCCAGTGGATATAGTGTACTTGGACTTTCAGAAAACCTTTGATAAGGTCCCTCACCGAAGGCTTTTAATCAAAGTAAGCAGTCATGGAACAAGAGGGAAGATGCTCTCATGGTCAGTAACTGGTTAAAAGATAGGAAACAAAGGGTAGGAATAAATGGTTAGTATTCACAGTGGAGAGAGGTGAATAGCAGGGTCCTCCAGGGATCTGAACTGGGACCAGTGCTGCTCAACATATTCATAAATGATTTGGGAAAAGGGGTGAACAGTGAGATGGCAAAGTTTGCTGATGATACAAAACTAAAGATAGTTAAATTCAAAGCAGACTGGGAAGAGTTACAAAGGGATCTCACAAAACTAGGTGACAGGGCAACAAAATGGCAGATGAAATTCAATGTTGATAAATGCAAAGTAATGTACATTGGAAACCATAATCCCAACTATACACACAAAATGATGGGATCTAAATTAGCTGTTGCCACTCAAGAAAGATCTTTAAGTCATTGTGGATAGTACTCTAAAAACATCCACTCAGATGTGCAGCGGCAGTCCAAAAATTTAACCAGAATGTTAGGAACCATTAGGAAAAGGATAGACTATAAAACAGAAAATAGAAATCCAAGCTACACCCATACCTTGAATACCGTGTGCAGTTCTGGTTGCCCCATCTCAAAAAGGATATATTAGAATTGGAAAAGATACAGAGAAGAGCAACAAAAATGATTATGGGTATGGAACAGCTTCTCTCTGAGGAGAGATTAAAAAGACTGCAATTGTTCAGTTAGAAAAGAAATGACTAAGAGGGGATATGACAGAGGTCTATAAAATCATGAATGGTGTGGAGAAAAAGGAATAAGTGTTATTTTCCCCTTCACATAACACAAGAACCAGAGGTCACCCAATGAAATTAATAGGCAGCAGGTTTAAAACAAACAGAAGGAAATGCTTCTTTACACAACGCAGAGTCAACATGTAGAACTCACTGGCAGGAGATGTTGAAAAGGGAAAAAGTGTAACAGTGTTCAAAAAAGAATTAGATAAGTTCATGGGGGACAGGTCCATCAATGGCTATTAGCCAAGACAGCCAGGGACCCATGCTCTGGGTGTCCCTAAACCTCTGATTGCCAGAAGCTGGGACTGGATGCCAGTGATGGATCACTCAATAAATTGAAGCATATGGCACCAGCCACTGTTGGAAGACAGGATACTTGCTACATGGACAATTGGTCTCACCCAGTATGGCCATTCTTAGGTTTAAGAGGAAACTGAAGACACAAGGTTCCATCCATGCATCATGGTCTTAAAGCACCAGGTCTTCCACTTGCTTGGTTTCAAATTAGTGTAATATCACCTACCATGTTACCCCATGGCATTTGAGCAGGACAATTCATAGTGAATATGGCTAGGGGTAGCCATTCTATCTACCGGTCTTCATGCCAATACCCTAGAGGACTGACATTCACACACTGCATTTTTGCCATGTTCTGCGCTCTTGGCACTCATATAACCCATTTAAACTGGTCTCTGTTTCCCCTTAAGAATGATACGGCCTCATAAACATGATGTGCAGGAACCCAACTTCATCATGCTGTTGTGCTGACTAGAGTTAAGTTAACAGAGTTAGCCCTTCATATGCACCAATTGTCTACTGCTCTCTGAAGTCGGACACTGTTTCTTAGGTAAACAAGAAGATTTCAGGTATGGGATAAACAGAGGGGGTGTCACGCAGATTGTGCAGCAGCCCTGGGGATTCTCCTCCCAGACAGACAGGAATACTGGGGCAGTGGCCTCTGCAGCCCCTCAGCCTTTCCATTCAAGGCCCTCAGCAAGAGGGCTAGTATTTAGCACTAGGCAAGAATCTGTGTGCTCTGCTGCTCTAGGCCTGCACTGAGCTAAACTGAGTCAATTGAGCTGAGGTATCAATCATTGCACAAATCAGGCCTGTGTATCAGATCCATTCCGAGGAGTACCAGCAGCGTCAGAGACACTAACTCCTCTGGGCTTGTCTTCACCATGAGCAATGGTGGCTAAGGCCTTTCAAATTTGTGGTGTGAAATGTCCTTCCCTTCCCAGATTCGGGACCACAGATTAGATTCTGCCAACTGTCAGGAAGATAACTCACAGCATCAGGTGGCTTCTTTCAAGTTCATTTTTGTCTAAGGCACCTCCTGTTAGATCGGCCTGATCCTGGGGTTTCACCTCAGAATCCTTGATCGCCGCTTCAGATGGAGATTCAAACACTTCATCGGGGTATGTAGAGAGCTCCTCATGGAGGACTCCTTCCTGGGCAAAGAAACATAAGTCCTTTCAAAGACATTCCAGTGACTTATTAGAGCAAAGCAACTCAAAAGGAAGCTCTGTCAGGAGTGGCACCTCTCCCTTGAGCCCACACATACTGCTGGGTGATAGAGTTCTTACAGCCTTTGGCTACTGGGGACAAAGCCAGCACTGCTCCCCTTACCCGAGCAAAAAACGAGGTGTCCAACTCATCGGGGAAATCCACCGTGTCCTCCTCCAAGAAACTAGCTGGGGTGAAGCTGCGTCGCTGAGCCCTCCTCAGGGTACTGTCCTTCACAGAGCGGCCCTGGAAGAGAAGGGAATAGCATTCAGTCACAGAGAAATTTGACCCCACAAACACCTAAGAGTTCTGCAGACCCTGCTTCTTCAGAGGCTTAGCTGTGTCAGGGAGTCACCAAAGTAAGTGCAGCAGATCCACCAGCCACTTGACACCCTTCTAGTGAGACTTGTGAATCCCACATACTAGTATTTCCAAGATGGCAGCACCATCCCTTTCAGCTGAGCTAAATGGTGCCTTCTGCAGTATATGAATGCTCTAACATGCTTTTTACAAAGGACCATCACCCATTCAGAGCCTAGCTTTTCCAAACTTCTCATCCAATCAGAGCCTAGAGCTTAGCTACTGCTAACCAAATTTTGTAAAGAACATTTGAGCCTGTTTGTTGTCAAACTTGAAGCACTCAGACTGACAAACTCTTGGCAGGTCTTTATCTGGTCTACTCCACTTCCTTCTAGGCATGGGCAGGAGACACAGTGCAAAGCAGTCAGAACAGTGACTCCCCAAAATGACATAGTGGAGTCCCATTTTACACCTCCTCCCACCTCAGGAATCCCATAGATGGTGCCTTCACCCGAGACCTCCACCCTGTCCCCACAGGAATCCTCCTCAATCAGACAGTACCTTCACCAGCGCTGCTGCTGCTCGGAAGCTCATTTTGGCCACTGATTCCCGTTTCCGCCGTCGTGGTAAGCGATTAAACCCAGACCGAGAGCTGGTGAAGGAGCACAGTGATGTGGCACCTGGAGTGATTGGTGTGTGAGGGATGCTGTATCCATCATTATCATCAGCCATACGGAATGCTCGGCCTCGTGCTAAAGGGTCTACAATCTGCAGTCGAAGAGAGGATCTCAGTTACTGTGAGAAACTGGGAAGATCTCAGCATGCTCTCAGGCAAGGAGCGAAGACCTGTGCCTCATTCTTGGGGCCCTTTTCTCCCCTCAACAAACACAAAGAAACATAGGAACTGCCAGACTGGATCAGACCTGGGCTTCATCAAGCCCAGTATCCTGTCTCTGACAGCTGCCAGCACAAGATGCTTCAGAGGAAGGTCTGGGATAATCTGTAATCCATGAAGGTCACACCGTGAGCCCTGAACATGAGGTTTTACATTCCTTCCAAAATTTTTATCATTAACTGTAACAAATATGGATAAAAACACTATCCAGAGGAGTGTCCAATCCTCTTTGACTCTTCTTAAATTCTTGGCTTCACCAACGTCATGTGGCAGTGAATTTCACAGTCTAATTATCTGTTGTGTGAATGAGAGTTTTTTCTAGGCCCTCGATCACTCTTTGGCTTCCTTTCACAGATTCCAAGGCCAGATACCACTGCGATCATGTAGTATGACCTTCTATATAAACACAGGCCAGATAACTTCCCCAAAATAATTCCTAAAGTAAATTTCTTCTCTGAGACCCCTCTCACTGTTCAATATCCTTTTTGAGAAGGAGTGACCAGTGCGGCATACGCTGTCGAGATGGACTTATTTACACAATGCATAATAATGTTTACAGTAGCATTTTCCATCCTGTATCCTAACATCTTGTTTGCTTTCTGGACCACAGTTGAACAGAGGTCTTTATTGAGCTGTCCTCTGTGATGCCCTGGTCCTTTTTGTGATTTAATACAGCTAACTTAGAACCCTGCAAGATGTGTAAATAGTTCACATTTTCCCCTCCAATATGCATTACTTTGCAGCACATACCAGCATCGAATGTAAGCTACATTCACCCAGCTTAGTTAGGTCTCTGAAATTCCTCCATTCCTAAGCAGCAGAACACAAAACTCCTTTCTGGTCATCACTGCTGTTCTTTAGAGCTGGTCAAAATTTTTAAGCCAAAAATTCTTCTCACCAAAAATTGTGGTTTTGTTGAATATAATTTTTTTTTTGTAGAAAAAGGTCATCTTCAATGATATTGTTCAATATTTCAATGGAAAATTTTGAAACAAACTGAAAATTTTCACTTTGTTTAGGTTCAAATTGCATTTTTCATTTCATTTTGGATTTGGGCGGGGGGGAGGGGAGGTGTTTCCTTTCACTTCCTTTTGGTTTTGGTTTTTTAAATACTCCCCGCCCTTTTTTTCCCCCACCAGAACATGACTTCAGTGGGACTATCTGAGATAGTAAAGTAAAGCTCATGTGTGCTTGCAAGATTGGGGTCCAATTTTTGAAAATGTAACCCTACCTCACTCTGCAGACGAGGTAACCCAGCTGGAAGCCCAGGGAGGCATCAGGAAGGAATTCTGCAGAGCAGCCCTTAGCTGCTGGTTACAGGATCCCTGGACTGGAACCTGAGATAGTGGGAGGGGACAGGCTCCCTACCAACCACCAGGGAAGGTGGCATGAATCCCCTGAGAAAGGGACATGGATGATAGAGAGCCCTGAGAAACGGGAGTGAGGACACAAGGCCCAGTGTCAGGGCTGAAGATCTGATACAAGGTCTCAGACTTGGTTGGACTCTTCTGGTACCCTGGCAGAGGTTGACTCAATTGTGACCTGACCAGAGGGCCGAGTTACAAGAAGAGAGACCACTGCAGCGCCAAAGCAATGGGCAGCTGGATGTGCCAGATGTGGGGAGAGACACTACACCATGCTTAGCCACAAGGAAGAACTCCAGCAACGAGTGATCTCCTTCAAATCCACAGAAAATTTCATAGATATTTTTCATTTATTGCTGACTATTTCCAAAATAAGCAATCGAGTCAATAATTTCTTTAAATTTTTCAATTTTTTTTTAAATTCTACCAAGTGACTAAGCTGACCAAATTTTTCCCCCCAATATTGCTTGTTTATAAAATGGAAAATGATAAACATACTGATTAGAATTTTGGCTAATAAATTTGAAAAATGAACCAATTTTGCAACCTGCAAAATTTGTCAATTTCTCAAACAGATCTACTTGTAACTAGGGCTATCAGGTGATTAAAAAAATAAATTGCAATTAATTGCATTGTGAAAGAATAATAGAATATCATTTATTTAAATATTTTTGGATGTTTTCTACATTTTCAAATATATTAATTTCAATTACAACACAGAATACAAAGTGTACAGTGCTCACTTTATATTTATTTTTATTACAAATATTTCCACTGTAAAAACCAAAAGAAATAGTATTTTTCAATTCACCTCATACAACTACTGTAGTGCAGTCTCTTTATCATGAAAGTTGAATTTACAAATGTAGAATTATGTACAGAAAACTGCATTCAAAAATAAAACAATGTAAAACTTTAAAGCCTACAAGTTCACTCAGTCCTATTTCTTGTTCAGCCAATCGCTCAGACAAACAAATTTGTTTACATTGGCAGGAGATAATGCTGTCCACTTCTTGTTTACAATGTCACCTGAAAATGAGAACCGGCATTCACATGGCACTGTTGTAGCCAGCGTTGCAAGATATTTATGTGCCAGATGTGCTAAAGATTCATATGTCCCTTGATGCTTCAACTACCATTCCAGAGGACATGCGTTCATGCTGATGACGAGTTCTGCTCGATAATGATCCAAAGCAGTGCGAACCAACGAATGTTCATTTCCATCATGTGAGTCACATGCCACCAGCAGAAGGTTGATTTTCTTTTTTGGTTTTTTGGGTTCTGTAGTTTCCGCATCGGAGTACTGCTCTTTTAAGACTTCTGAAAGCATGCTCCACACCTCGTCCCTTTCAGATTTTGGAAGGCACTTCAGATTCTTAAACCCTAGGTCGACTGCTGTAGCTATCTTTAGAAATCTCACATTGGTACCTTCTTTGCATTTTGTCAAATCTGCAGTGAAAGTGTTCTTAAAACGAACATGTGCTGGGTCATCATCCGAAACTTCTATAACATGAAATATATAGCAGAATGCAGGTAAAACAGAGCCAAAGACATACAGTTCTCCCCCAAGGAGTTCAGTCACAAATTTAATAAACACATTTTTTTTAACAAGCGTCACCAGTATGGAACCATGTCTTCTGGAATGGTGGCCAAAGCATGAAGGGGCATACTAATGTTTAGCATATCTGGCATGTAAATGCCTGGCAACGCCAGCTACAAAAGTGCTATGCGAAAGCCTGTTCTCACTTTCAGGTGACATTGTAAATAAGAATCGGGTACCATTATGTCTCATAAATGTGAGCAAACTTGTTTGTCTGAGCGACTGGGTGAACAAGAAGTAGGACTGAGTGGAGTTGTAGGCTCTAAAGTTTTACATTGTTTTGTTTTTGAGTGCAGTTATGTAACAAAAAAATTCTACATTTGTAAGTTGCACTTTCACGACAAAGATTGCACTACAGTTTTTGTATGAGGTGAACAGAAAAATACTATTTCTTTTGTTTATCATTTTCACAGTGCAAATATTTGTAATCAAAAATAATATAAAGTGAGTACTGTATACTTTGTATTCTGTGCTGTAACTGGAATCAATATATTTTAAAATGTATAAAAACATCCAAAATATTTAATAAATTTAAATTGGTATTCTATTGCTTAACAGTGTGATTAAAACGGTGATTAATCGTGATAAATTTTTTTAATCGCCATTAATTTTTGTGAGTTAATTGCGGGAGTTAACTGTGATCAATCGACAGCCCTACTTGTAACCTTCCTGGGCAGCACACACTTGTGAAATTACAGGATCCAGAACATCACATTACTTCTCCACAAGGTCAAAAATGAGGATTTAACTCTGTCCAACACAGTCAGAAAAAATTAATGCTGGCTATGGCAGCAATTTCTATGCACTCTCCTAACCAAAAGGCTGATAAAATACAATCCTTGGTAGATTTACAGGTTCTGCCAATATAGCATATAATCCTCATTACTCCAACAGTTGTGGCCCGAAAAAGTTATAGGCTCTGATGGCTGGGCTCATAACCAAGAGTTCAACATCTAACAGCACAACATAGCCAGCCTCTTTCCATTGTTACATATGGAAGTTATAAAATGCGGCAGCTACATCCGACAGACATTACAACTTCCACGTGGCTCCAATGGGTAGGGTAGGAGAGACGATAACTTTTGTGAGGCCTGAGATGTGGTGCTCATTAACTTTAACCTCTCCTGCGTGCCAATTTATAAAAGACTTGTACTTTCAAAAATGAACACAAGGTTTTAGACAAAAGTTACAACTGCTGTCAGAGGACTGGATGGAAGTTCCAACATTAATGATCTTGACCATGAATAAATATTTTATATTTAAGAATACTTTGTCAAACTGGTTCTGTGCCTGAGTTCTCAGCAAGGTCTAGAGCACAGGACCTGTTTGAAGCCACACGTCAATTATGAGTTGATTCAAAGGCTTTTCCAAACTGAAAAAGAAGCCATTTTTCTAAGTTCCATAACTCTAAAATGATTTGTTTGATTAAATCAAACTTTAAAAAACATGAGAAATTTCAGCTTTTGAGACAGAGGAGAGAGGGCTCTCGGTGGGCAGGATCAGGGTTAGACAATAGTCAATCCTTTACTATGGAGACACTACCAATCTCTTACCCTCCTTTCTCCAAGGCAGGATTATCTGCAGATGGAGATAATTTCATTTCCCATTTCACCATCTGGACAAGTGTAACACTCTTAACTGACTTCATAATATCAGATTAATTACGAGGGAAAAGCAAGGCACTGGGAACCCTTCAGGTTAGAGCTCAAGTGCTCATGAAGTTACCTCATTTAGGTTTGTGTACTGGCAGAATCTGTACTTTGGGAACATGGAGTAGGCAAGGAAGCAGGAAGATTTACAGCTTCCCCTGGCAATTTCTGAGGGCTTGTGAGCAGAGTGTGCCAGCTGCTGAGGTAAGAGAGATGACACATAGGTAGCTCCTGTGAAGTCATGAGATAATATTTCTGAGGATACTGAAAACTAGGGTATTGTCACAGCAAAATGTGAAGAATAAAAAAGTAAGTGCATTGCATGGCAATGGGGCTATTAGTATGAGACTGCAGTTAGGGAGGATAGGGTCTAATCTGGGTATCGAAAGTAAACTGACAGTTCTCCTCTCAAAACTGCTGAATACCCCATGTTGGAAAAGACTCTGACAGCCAGATTTGACTAGGAAACTGGAATCTTGCTATGGAAAAAGCTGAAAAATGCCTTCCACGATTACTGTAATTCCTTACTAGTGCTTATATACCATTCTCACTCAGTAATGATGCCAAAGGGACAAAGACATGGCTCTCAGAGTCCTGGGGAAACAGACTGCAGATGTATAAACCACAGAGGCCCAAATGGAAGGGTGACAACACTGATTATGGGAAGAGAGTGCTCAAATGTGTGTATGAGATTTAGGAAACCATCCCTTCACAGGAAACTCTTCCTTTCCTCTAAAACCTTTGTTTCCATGTTTGATCTCTTTAGTGTCTTGTGTACACTGATCTGAAATGTTCAGGAAACATTGAACCCTAAAGCAGGCTTAGCATCCAGCAGTGGGAGAGGGGAGAAAGGAGCCTTTTTGGTATGTTCTGAAAGCTAACAAGCCCCATGGAAAGGCCCTGGCTACTCCTCCATTGGACTCACCTTCTGCATGCCAAGTTGACAAGGCCCGACATAGAGAGGAGGAGGGGTCTCTGTGCTAGTGAGTGAGATGTTATCCTGGCTGGGCAGGTCCATTTCCCGGATGACCTGAGGTTTCAGCTTCCCATATCGTTGGCTGCAATGGCGAAGGCTTTTTCTCTGCCATTTCTGAGTGGCATCGCTATCCTTGCTTACCCCAAACCAATCTGCTGTGCCCCTGAAAGACACCGACACACAAGCACAGGGAACGTTTGGGTTCGCTTAAATCATGCAAATTAGAGATAGAAAAGCCCCAGTGGTTCACACCTACTCCATTCCCATGCAGGATTCTGCCCTATAGTATATCTCACGGGCTCTTCACAGCTTGGTTTTAAATATGCAGTAAGACCAGGGCACAAAATTTTCATCAAAACATTATTATAAACAAAAAATGCCTTTTACCAAAACAAACATTTCACGCAAAAAAATATTTTGGTCAATTTTAAGTTTTTCCCAGTGGGGAAAAGAAAAGAAGGGGCAGCAGGAACCAGGGGACCTATTTATTTTGTCATTTAGTTTGACTGGAAACTTTTTTTAATGAAACTATTTTATTTCTTTGAACATTTTCACAGAAAATACTTACCCATGTTGGACCAGGCCTAGTCCCAAGTGATGGGGCCATGGCCTTTTCACAACCTCAGCCATCTCACAGTCCGAAAGAGTTTCCTTATATTCAGTCTGAATTCATCTTTTCTTCTCCTGACTCCCCATTATTGCCCTCTCCCTCCTTGTGCTTGCCAAACTGGTACTTAGCTGAAGCTTAGCATCAACATCCAGAGTGCCGCTATGCTCCCTGGGATCTCAACTTTCCAGCAGTTTATGTCTGGGTTATAGGGGTACATGGCATTGAGCTGCCTGCTGCGGAAAGTTGAGAAAAGCTAGGAGCAGAAGGCAGTGGAGTGCAGCAATGCAGGCCATCAGGATATTGCTAGGGCTCTGCTGGGAGCAGAGCCGTTTGTATTGCATTGCTTCTACTTCATCACTGAAAGGCATCTACATTCAAAGACAAAATCCTGGAGGAAGCCAGAACATGTAAATTAGGAGCATTTCAGGCCACCCCAAATGCAGGAGGACAGTCATGCATTGTAGCATGCAGTGTAATTGTAGCTATGTCAGTCCCAGGATATGAGAGAGACAAGGTGGGTGAAGCACTTACCTCACCCAGCTTGTCTCTCTCATATCCTGGGACTGACATGGCTACAGTCGTCTCTCTAGTCATGAATTGTAAACTGTCCTAGAAATGTAAGATTTACCACTGATCCATCATGCCTTTCCTCCAGCAGTGGCCAATACCTGCTGCTTCCAAAGAAGGCATGCCACAAGAACCCATAATGCACCTGGCCAAGTGTTCAATGCTGTGAAGAAAAAGTCCATCCTAACCCCTCCCAAGTGCACACATGGAAGCGTGAGATCATCTGATCCTTTTCATCAACTCCTTCATGGGAGCAAGGACATCCACTGACGCTGTGACACTGAGAGAGCGGTTTTAGCCTGTGCTCCTGGTGGAGGCCAGGGGGTATGCTCTGGCACTAAGAGGGAAGCAGACCCAGTTACTGTTAGTTCATCAGGTTTATGCCTGGGCATCAGAGGGGAATATACCATTTTAGTATTAGCAGGAAGTAGTATGCCCTAGAATTAGAATTAGGCAGGGGCAAGATTCTGTTAATGGGGTTTGTGCCTGGGCAGCGAGAGAATAAACTGCTTTTTGACTTATAACAAAAAGGTCCCTATCCAAACGATCTGGGTTATGTAAATACATATCCAATTCAAAGGCCTCAGACAGCCTCTCCTGTTAAACTCCAACTGTAACCCCATTTATCTCAGACTGGTCCCCTCTATATATCCCTTCCCAGATACCCAAAACAGAAGAGCCTTGCAGTGTGTCCCGAAGGTCAAAAGACTTAGGCTATTTTCATCCAAGGAGGAGAGGGAATTCTAAAATCAAGGGGCCCTCATGGAGAATGCCCTCACCCTGCCAGCAGCCTCTTCTCTGTCATTCCCAAGAGGGCTTCAGCTTAAGCAGCTTTGCAGATGGCAGCTCTGGCAGTGAAGCCCAGGAAAAGAGGTGGCTCCCAGACTATCTGGAGCTTTATAGGTTAAAACCAGCATTTTAGATTTTACTTGGAAGTTAACCAGCAGCTAATGTAGATTACAGAGCTCTGGTGTCATGTGCTCCCAATAAGACACACTATTCACCCAGCAGGCAGCTGCCTTCTGCACCAGGTCCAAATGTAGCCTCGCACTGCAACAGTCTAACCTTTGAGGGGGTCAACAAACATGTGGACAAGGGGGATCCAGTGGACATAGTGTACTTAGATTTCCAGAAAGCCTTTGACAAGGTCCCTCTGACAAAGGCTCTTATGTAAATTAAGTTGTCATGGGATAAGAGGGAAGATCCTTTCATGGATTGAGAACTGGTTAAAAGACAGGGAACAAAGGGTACGAATAAATTGTAAATGTTCAGAATGGAGAGGGGTAACTAGTGGTGTTCCCCAAGGGTCAGTCCTAGGAACAATCCTATTCAACTTATAAATAAATGGTCTGGAGAAAGGAGTAAACAGTCAGGTGGCAAAGTTTGCAGATAATACTAAACTGCTCAAGATAGTTAAGACCAAAGCAGACCGTGAAGAACTTCAAAAAGATCTCACAAAACTAAGGAATTGGGCAAGAAAATGGCAAATGAAATTTAATGTGAATAAATGTAAAGTAATGCACATTGGAAAAAATAACCCCAGCTATACATACAATATGATGGGGGCTAATTTAGCTACAACTAATCAGGAGAAAGATCTTGGAGTCATCGTGAATAGTTCTCTGAAGACATCCAAGCAGTGTGCAGCAGCAGTCAAAAAAGCAAACAGGATGTTAGGAATCATTAAAAAAGGGATAGAGAATAAGACGGAGAACATCTTATGGCCCTTATATAAATCCACGGTACGCCCACATCTTGAATACTGCATACAGATGTGGTCCCTTCATCTCAAAAAAGATATACTGGCATTAGAAAAGGTTCAGAAAAGGGCAACTAAAATGATTAGGGGTTTGGAACGAGTTCCATATGAGGAGAGATTAAAGAGGCTAGGACTTTTCAGCTTGGAAAAGAGGAGACTAAGGGGGGATATGATAGAGGTCTATAAAATCATGAGTGGTGTGGAGAAAGTGAATAAGGAAAAGTTATTTACTTGTTCCCATAATATAAGAACTAGGGGCCACCAAATGAAATTAATGGGTAGCAGGTTTAAAACAAATAAAAGGAAATTCTTCTTCACTGAGTGCACAGTCAACCTGTGGAACTCCTTGCCTGAGGAGGTTGTGGCGAGGACTATAACAGGGTTTAAAAGAGAACTGGATAAATTCATGGAGGTTAAGTCCATTCATGACTATTAGCCAGGATGGGTAAGGAATGGTGTCCCTAGCCTCTGTTTGTCAGAAGGTGGAGATGGATGGCAGGAGAGAGATCACTAGATCATTACCTGTTAAGTTCACTCCCTCTGGGGCACCTGGCATTGGCCACTGTTGGTAGACAGGATACTGGGCTGGATGGACCTTTGGTCTGACCCAGTATGGCCATTCTTATGTTCTTAAGGTCTGCATCCAAGAAAAGAGAACCTGTCCTTCTGGACACATGCAAGTTGAACAAAGCCATCCTGGCCCAATGTCACTTGTTCATCCAACCAGGCCCCAGATGGTGAACTCTAGTCAAGCACCAACATCTCCTCCTTGGCAGAGACATGGACAGTTTCCTCTAATAACAAACCCAGCGCTCCCCACTGGTCTTCACCAGCCTGTGGATCTCACCTGATTGGAGTGACCCAAATTTTTCCTAACACCTCCAGCACCTCAGTAAGGGGATACAGGCCAAAAGTCAAGAGGCAGCTTTGCACTCTGCTTAGGAGTCTATTCCCTCAGGATATTGTTCTGCTCCTACAGACACCGATCGGTCAGCTCAAACAGGTACAAACAGGTACAACATCTGAACAACGTTCTCCATTTGCCCATAGTGAAAGGGACTAGAATCAGCACCCAGGCTGAGACAGCCTGAATTAACTGGGCTGTCCACAGCCCAAAACAAACCCACTGACTGAGACTGTACAGGTGCTACAGTGGAGGAAAGAAACTTTCCTTACTTCCTGCGCGGCCACAATGTAAGGCTTCAAAACAATCTTTATAGCTCAGTTGACCAGATTTGTCTCGAGGCTTCTGTATCCAGCACTCTATCCACCTTCCCAGTCACTTCTTTTGTCACAGGATGTATGTGAACCAAGCTAATCTGTGAGGGTGAAGCCTGCACCTAGGGGCCACTCCACTGAAGGAAGAGGACAAAGCATTTTACTGTCCTAACCAACCACGGATGGAACAATGTAGTGACAGAAATGGATCATGCTTTGGAGCCCTTTGAACACCCTCCACCTCCATTAGCCACCAGCAAGGCAGGCCCCTTGCCCTGACAGCAGAGGACAAAAGAAAACAGTTGCTCTGATTGAAGTCAAAGCTGTGATGTTAGGATGGAATGGGCAGCTATTCTGTTCTATTTCTAGCACTCATAATGGAATGCCAGGGTTATATTTGTGTGCACCCTAGCCCTAAAGATGTGCCCTGTCCCTTTGCAGTTTTGGAGCTCTGCTGAAGAGGTTAAAGGGAACACAGTGGGGAAGCAAGGTGTGGTTGCAGGAGGCAGTTGTACTCCAGTGAGACTGGGCAGGCATGGGGCTTGGGCAAGCTGCGTTTATTTGGTTTCTTGGATAGTAACTTTAATAAAACCCCAGTTTTAAAACCCTTCCTGGTCTGGGAGTGTAACATATCCCCCTTGCTATCTGAGCACCTTCCAGAGGCATATCAAGCTCAGTAACTAGCATCTGTGTCCTGTGGGTCATTCTCTTTCTCTCTTCCCCTCCCCAGGGGACGGTTTATCATTCTAAGGCATTGTGTACACACTACTCTGTTCCCATTAGCATGGCAGGGTGAAGAAGTGCACCCTGCACCTGGAGGTCTGTGGGGCTCAGGCGTGCCTCTGGGAATTGGTTCCAGCTGTGAAGAAGGCCAGGAGGTTTAGGGCTTGTCAGGGAGGGAAGGAGGCTAATGGCTCATTAGTCAATTCCATGCTCGGTATTTTCAGCTTCTGAAACGTTTAGTGGATGTGACCATTCTTTCCGTTAGGTGCGCACATGACACCCACCA